TGATGATGATGATGATGATGATGTCGTACGGGTGCGGCGGTCCGTCGTGAGCAGTCGTGATGAAATTCTGGCTACTGTGAAGGCCGAATGATGGCCGTGTGTGTGCGTGTTTGTATTCCGTACATCCGCCGTATAGCAGATGTGCCTTCTCAAAACATGAATATTGACATACATCACAGCAGCAGCAGCGGCGGCGGCGGTGGCGGTGCGTTAGACTGATAGATTTATTCCTGGCATTATTCTTCGCATGCTTGGTGGCGCTTGGTTGGGTGTCAGTATATGTGTTTTTCTAAAAGGGGTCGGGAGCATCGATTGGCCCGAGTTGACGCCGCACAGTTCGTGTTTGTGTGTGTTTGTGTGCGCTGTTTATATAATAATACATGCTGCGAAGATTGGCGTGGCATGACAGCAGCTGTCGTTCTCGCTTTTTTTTGCTGAACATACATATCGGCCGGTTTCGTAGAGTCCAATGCTTCGCTCAATTCGTATATCTGTACAATTTGTTTCCTTCCAAACAGCCCCTCAGGTATTTTGACAGTAGCTTGGGGGGGTTTGGACGAGGTGCCGTCTGCCGTACATGTTTAATATAGAATGTTCACCAATTGCCACGTCATACATACATACATACATATATGTCAGCATCATGGACGCGTACCTGGACACGCCTCACACTACACACTACCTTCCCCACGCACATACACACACACCGCAGGGGTTCGTCCAGTGTCTATCTACCTCTCCCTCCTGCACACATGCAAACGTATAGAGATGTTCATAGGGCTTTACAGCATCATAGACACTGACTACTTCCGGACCGCCGCCGGCCCCCGCCGAAGAAGAAGAGGGAGAAGAAGAGGGAGAAAAACCGGGAAGAGAAGAGGGGGAAGAAGAGGGAGAAAAAGAGGGAGAAGAAGAGGGAGAAGAAGAGGGGGAAAAGCGGGAGAAGAAGAGGGAGAAAAAGCGGGAGAAGAAGAGGGGGAAGAAGAGGGGGAAGAAGAGGGAGAAAAAGAGGGGGAAGAAGAGGGGGAAAAGCGGGAGAAGAAGAGGGAGAAAAAGAGGGGGAAAAGCGGGAGAAGAAGAGGGGGAAGAAGACGGAGAAAAAGCGGGAAAAGAAGAGGGGGAAGAAGAGGGGGAAAAGCGGGAGAAAAGCGGGAGAAGAAGACGGAGAAAAAGCGGGAGAAGAAGACGGAGAAAAAGAGGGGGAAAAGCAAGAGAAGAAGAGGGGGAAGAAGAGGGAGAAAAAGAGGGAGAAGGGCCGACACGGTGTGTGTGGTCATCGTGGTCCTCATCTCATTACATCGTACGGCATGAAACACGGGGTCGGGGGTTGGCGGCCTCCCTTGGTTGAGAGGGGGAAGTTAATGCGGGGGTGGGAGGGCTTTCAAGTACGGAGGTGTGTGTGCGGGGGGGGGAGGGGCCTGGCGGATAGAGCGGTGAGAGCACGGGCCGATGACCATGGAGTATGATGATGTACCGGGTCCCGCACTTCTTGGGGTCAGCTGAAACGGACAGACAGACAGATAGACAGACGGATGGATGGATGGATGGATGGATGCGACAACACAGGTATCACCGTCATCACCACCTTCACGCCGCTTTTGGGGCGAAAGACTATCGGGCAAGGAGAAGTGTGTATGTGTGTGGGGGGTTGGGAGGGCGGGAAAGAAATTGCTGCAAGTCATAAACTGCCCAAATGCCTATGATATGGGAGTGCGTGTACATTCAAATAACGTCCGGCGCAAGGTCTGGCTAATCTGGTCCGAAAAAATCCATGCGTTTCGCCCGACCATGCCCGTACAGCGGCTTCTGGATTTTCACATCTGTCGTACCGCCGTAGGGAGGAAAGCACTGTGTGGGAGCACTGCAGTCTTATCACGCACGCATTGACTGGTGGATTGGAAAAGCAGGCAAGCTTTGCGGTACGCAGATGTGGCAGGAAGGTGGGTTCATTCCTTTTGCGGCGGTCAGCCAGGTACGGCCAGCCTTGGTGGTAAAGTCAGGTCGGACGTAGGTTCTTAGGAAGCCCGAAAGGAAACATTGGCAATGGGATGAAATCTACAGTGAAAGGCCGTTAAGTTGCCGATGGGTTAAGACCATCCGGTTACGTGAGGGTCTGGCCAGCTTGACTTACGTCCATGTAGAAGTTACTTCAGATTAACATATGATTCTGTTTAAATTAAGCTTATGACAGGAAGGAAAGGTTGCAGTGGACTTGGGACGACATGCGCTTTGATGCACATGAAATTACCGGAAGAAATGGTTACGGGTCGTTGTGATACTTTCACTCCTTCCACAAGTGAGTGAGTACTGCATAAAATAAAGAGATTGTGCCCGGAGACACCTGCCGAGTCTGCCATTTGGCTGCGGCAAATGTGCCGCAATAAATTAACTTGGACGGTGACAAGCATTTCTATCAACGCGTACTAGTGTAATCGGTGAAAATACCTTCTGACATTACGCTGCCAAGAGGCAGGCCAAGGGCAAACATTTCGCTCCGGAATTTTCACTTGACGTCCAACGGACCGAATGTGCCAACATCGGCCATTTTCCAGATTTCTTCCAATACGGTATCATAGTAATTCAGTGGATGCATATCAAGAAGATAACACTCACTAGCAACCTTGCTTAGGTCGATTCGCACATAGCGTAACCATTACGAGTCAAATTCCCGAGATCCCAATTTTACCCAAAATGCTCTCCATCATGCGCCGTTGATGAGCTATTATAACGCGGGTCAAAATGTTTTATCCGAACCAATTATTACTTCGTTCTCGTGTCTAAGCACGATGTATGTCCTCTTGGCAGTACAATTATTACGCAATGAGTCGGCTCAACCTGCCTTCCGGCCACTAATGGGGATGCGCTGACAAATCTTTAACACGCGTTCTAAGCGCCAGAAACTTCTGGCCGTGCGTTGGAGACCTCCCGTAGGGTGAGTCTACACCCCATGACCCGTGAAAGGAACGAACAGAAAAATACCTGGCTGCAAGTTTCTATAGATAGCCCATACACTATACGCTAGCATGGCATTTGCCAGAAGCCCATGTTTCGAGGAGTTGTACGGCTGTACTCACTTCCGGAACCTCCATGCCGGTTACAAAAGCATTGCACGCGCGTGCGTATGAATATTGCATCAAAGGCAATTTGTTTAGAAGAACCCTACACAAAAAAATTCTTTCTTTCAACACCTATTCTTCCAGGACTCGGGTTACATCTTGAAACTGATTGCTTAAGAGATAAATCAAGTCCCAATCTTGACATCTAATTGCATTTGTAAGGACTTCCCATAGGTGAGCGGCTGGCGTAAGCACACAGCATGATGGTGGATGTAGAGACCCAGCAAAGCCTTAAGAATGTCCACGGGCTTACATGTGGAGGATTGACACAGCTGCCCGCCAATTATAGAGAAGATCATGTGTCGAACCTTGCCGACACGCACCATGCAACTTCCGACTTCGCCACTTCTTTGATTCCTTCACCTGCAGGATGTCGGCGAACCTTATTTCCTGCAAGCGGGGTGTCGCGCAGGCTATGAAGCCTGTGGTTATCGCCCCCGTGTCGCTGCGGTTGGCGGGTCGCAGAGCTCCGCGCATTGTATGCGAAGCTACCGCTGCCTCACCTGCGCCAGTTGCGCCAAAGGCCGAGACAACTCCCGCTGCTGCCCCGGTAGGTTGCGGGCCTCTGTATATTGCGGCTGACTATAACGCAGCTTCTTTCGTTTTATCCTTATTGGAGTCCAGCTGTACATAGAAAACGTTGCCCAGGAGCTTTCTATCTTTCCCGTTTACATACTAAATTTATTGTATTTGCAGGTGCCAACAAATGGTTCTCCAGTTGCTCCCGTTAAGAAGGAGCGTCCTCCTGTCGCGGATGATCAGCTTGCGCAGCTGAAGGCACAGCTAAAGCGATCTCAAGAAGCTCAGCACAAGTACGCGACCTTTACTCAGGCCCAGGTAATTATAAACCTAGGCAGCTTGATGAAATTTCAAACTCTGGCAGGACATGTTCATTTTCGGTAGTTTGTCGAAACTTCCTACTCGCCCTCAAGCTGTATTGTACATCCTAGCTAATTGGGTTGGTTGCCTTCGACCTAATTCGTATAGGTGGATGAGATTTTCCGGAGCGCTGCTGAGGCCGCCAACGCTGCCCGTATTCCTCTAGCCAAGATGGCCGTGGAGGAGACTCGGATGGGAGTTGTTGAGGACAAGGTCAGTGAATTGTTTGTGTGTTGATTGCCCTTACCATGCCTAATTTGTTGCTTCTTGTTTGCGTAAGTACTGTATAATAGATTGCTTTCCGCTGCATCCGTTGAAATTAACCACCCCGTTGTACCTGGATATGTCAGGTTGTAAAGAATCACTTCGCGTCGGAGTTCATCTATAACAAGTACAAGAACACGAAGACTTGCGGCGTGATTGAGGAGGATGAGGCTGGTGGCATTCAGAAGGTGGCTGAGCCCGTTGGCGTCATTGCCGGTGAGCAAGGGGCCCTGATGTCCGGTGATGGCCCTGAGGCCGTTGTCTCCTACTGCTTGCCCTAGCCCCAGCGAATGAGGGCACATTCCTTGCCCTCATAATGGTACGTCCCGCTCACAATTTCCCAGTCATATCTCTGGAAATCGAGATAACCGTAGAGCGCACCATTCTACCTGCGGCCCGGTACTCCTTGCTGGCACCTCCTCTTGCTGCTGCAGGTATCGTGCCAACCACCAATCCCACCTCGACCGCCATCTTCAAGGCGCTGTTGTCGCTCAAGACACGCAACGCGCTCGTGCTGTGCCCGCACCCGCGCGCTGCAAGGTGCACCATTGCCGCCGCTAGGATTGTGCGCGATGCCGCCGTTGCTGCTGGTGGGTCGTAACGGAACTGTCACAATCCGTGCAACGTGTTCCATGTGCCTTCAGATTTGTTTGAGCTGTGTTAATCACAGACAAATAGCCGACTTTGAAGGATACAGTGATTGCATCGAACATTCTCATACTGAAGTACCTACATTTAAAATCTTTGGCTTCAATAACTGTTCCTTTCTCCCCTAACCCGCTTTCCTCCCCCCTTCTCTCCTAATCCACCAGGTGCCCCTTCGGACATCATCAGCTGGGTGGAGAGCCCCTCGCTGCCGGTGTCGCAGGCGCTGATGCAGGCTCCGGAGATCAGCCTCATTCTCGCTACTGGCGGACCGGCCATGGTGCGGGCCGCCTACTCCTCCGGACACCCCTCCCTGGGTGTGGGCGCGGGCAACACACCCGCGCTGATCGACGAGACGGCCGACGTCAAGATGGCCGTCAGCTCTATCATGCTGTCCAAGACATTCGACAACGGTGTCATTTGCGCTTCGGAGCAGTCAGTGGTGGTGGTGGGCAAGGTGTACGACGAGGTACGCGCGGAGTTCATCCGGCGCGGCGCCTACTTCCTCAACGAGGAGGAGAAGGCCAAGGTACGCGTTTGTATGACACCGCTCGTTTAGGAACGGGCGGTGGTCATGTCCCAGGTGATAATCAGCGGCGTTTCAGTGGACTACTTCGCTTGGACTAATAAAAGTAAATGAAGTGGGCCTATGTTTCGAATCTCGGGCAGCCCAGCTAGTCCCTGAACAGCCACGGTCACACGCCTGTGCGAACGTGCGAAGTCTACAGGAGCAATGTGTAAGCATGGAGTAGTGTGAAAGGTTAATTCTGACCACGTCTTGCGACCATCCGCCCCATTGAGACTATCCGTGTCTTTGCTGGCCTATACTGAGGCGTTGCACCAAACATGAGGCGTTGCGACGGGTATGAATCTAGGAGGGGGTGTGCAATTCCAAAAACTGGAAAGAGATTGCGGAATACGTAACATCCTGTCCTAATTATTGACTGTTTCCCCACTCACTAAACCCACCCGCACCATGCAGGTCCGTTCTGGCGTCTTGATTGACGGCAAGCTCAATCCCAACATTGTGGGTCAGTCCATTCCCAAGCTTGCTGAGCTGTTTGGCATCAAGGTGCCGGAGGGCACCCGCGTGCTGATCGGCGAGGTGGAGGCTTGGGGCGATACCGAGCCGCTGTCGCAGGTGCGGGTACCGCGGGGAGCCTCTGCATCATTGCAAGTAGATCAGTTGTATGACCACCAGGATTATAACAACAGTGCCTTCGTCGACATGCGGCAAGTAGTAGCAAGTTGGCAGTGAAACATGCGCTGAGCTACGGAGTCCTGGCTGCGGTTCGTAATGTAGTGGAAATGTGCTTTGTTTTGTGCTCCAAATGCTTAGCTCAAGTACTCTCTCCCTGGTTCGATCCACGTTTCGCAGGAGAAGCTGTGCCCCATCCTTGCCATGTACAAGGCGCCATCCTTCGAGCAGGCCGTTCAGCTTTCGCACAGCCTGATCATGTACGGCGGCGCCGGTCACACCAGCGTGCTATACACCAACCCGCTGAATAAGGCTCACATCGAGCTGTTCGAGTCCACGGTCAAGACCGTTCGTATCTTGATCAACACGCCGGCGTCTCAGGGCGCCATCGGCGACCTGTACAACTTCCACCTGGATCCCTCGCTGACCCTGGGATGCGGCACCTGGGGCTCCACCTCGGTCTCCAACAACGTGGGGCCGCAGCACCTGATCAACATCAAGACCGTCACTTCGCGCCGCGAGAACATGCTCTGGTTCCGAGTGCCGCCCAAGGTAGGGCTTGCAATTTGTAGACGCGGTGGCGTCAGCTGGGCGGAGTTGACACCGACAGGACTTATGCCGGAGACTTCGAATTTGCAAGCGTTTCAAACCATCATGCGACAGCTTGCTCCTTGGTCGTCTTCAATAGTGCCCTTTCCTTGCAATGCGTGCAGTAGACTGCCAATAGTTGTGTAAGCAGTTGTATGAGTTACTAATGGTTCCTCCCGTTTGCACACAGATTTACTTCAAGGGCGGTTGTCTGGAGGTCGCCCTGCGCGACCTGGTGGGCAAGAAGCGTGCCTTTGTCGTCACCGACAAGCCGCTGTTCGATTTGGGCTTTGCGGACAAGGTGACTCGAATTCTGGACACGATCAACGTTCACCACCAGGTCTTCTACCACGTGACCCCAGATCCAACGCTGGCCTGCATCAACGCCGGCTTGAGCGAGATCCTGGAGTTCAAGCCCGACGTGATTATCGCTCTGGGTGGTGGCTCGCCCATGGACGCGGCAAAGGTACGCAATGTGGGGATTGACGGCAAATGAAAAAGTGCATTTTGTCTTGGTTAATGAATCCCCACACATTGTGGACTTCCTGCATTATGCAAACAGCTGCTATGACGGATAAAGATCCTCATCCAGTGAGATTCCTGACAGGTTTTGTGTTTCAGACGGTGTTGTGACGGTGTTGTGACGGTGGGTTGTTATGACGGTGATCACCCTTGGATGCGCACGACTAATCTGCTTGTAGATCATGTGGTTGATGTACGAGTGCCCGGAGACCCGGTTCGATGGCCTGGCGATGCGCTTCATGGATATCCGCAAGCGCGTTTACGAGGTTCCGGAGCTGGGCAAGAAGGCCACCATGGTGTGCATCCCCACCACCAGCGGCACCGGCTCCGAGGTGACGCCCTTCTCCGTGGTTACGGATGAGCGATTGGGAGCCAAGTACCCTCTGGCCGGTGAGGAAAAGACTTGCGAGGCCGTTTCCTGCGTAGGAGAGTGTTTATTTGGTTGGATTTTGCGCTCCCTGCATTTTTCGACAAGGGGCCCCGTACGCAACAGCATTAGGTGTATTATTGGCTACTTTCGTTGGCGCGTGCAGAAACAAATCATTCTGTTCTGCCCGGCCGTAATCCCTCGCTTTCCAGATTACGCTCTGACGCCCAACATGGCGATCGTGGACCCTCAGCTGGTTCTCAACATCCCCAAGAAGCTCACCGCCTGGGGCGGCGTTGACGCGCTCACCCACGCCTTGGAGAGCTACGTGTCCATCTGCGCGACAGGTGGGTGACGGTGGTGGTTGTGAGTTGTGGGTGGTTTTGATGGTGATGATGGTCACCGGCCGGTGTGTGTTCAGGAATGTGCAGAGCATGTGCTCCGCCGCGGGGTTTCCGTCTGACGTTGGTGTCCGGTATTGTTGTGTGAGTTTGGCATGTGTCATGTTTCGGATGATGGCCCTACAGCTGGCCAACCAACATTCCTTGGGTTCTTTGCCCCATACACATACAGAGTACACTCGCGGCCTGTCCCGCGAGGCCATCTCGCTGCTGTTCAAGTACCTGCCGCGGGCCTATGCCAACGGTGCGAACGACTACGAGGCGCGTGAGAAGGTGCACTACGCGGCCACCATCGCCGGCATGGCCTTCGCAAACGCGTTCCTGGGCATTTGCCACTCCATGGCGCACAAACTGGGTGAGCCTCCGCTGCTAAGGATTACACTCCTGCTTTTCCTTCGTTGTGTCGTGTCTTAGTCCTCGGGACATAGAAATAGCGGTGCTGTCGTTGTGCATAAGTGTTTTGCCTGGGGGGGGAGGGGCCCGTAGCACAGGAAACCATGTTGAATGCCGGCTTCGGTCCACGCGGTCATTCGCTGCCTAACCCTGCTGTTTCATCATCTTGCTGCTGCAGGCGCCGCCTTCCACGTGCCTCACGGTCTTGCCAACGCGGCCCTCATCAGCCACGTGATTCGCTACAACGCCACCGACATGCCCGCCAAGCAGGCGGCCTTCCCGCAGTACCAGTACCCCAACGCAAAGCACCATTACGCGGAGCTGGCGACCATGCTCAACCTAGGTGGCGAGACGGACGACGAGAAAGTACGTTGCATCAACGTTGCATACTCTATTCCGTAGGCTTTCTCTAGGAATCCCAGGAGAGCTGTTGCCACCGTTCTGATGTGTCTGTTGCATGCTCCTGGCGGCGTGCACCGTATGTACGTGTGATTGTCGAACATGGCATGTCCACATAAATAGTGTATATGAATACATTTTATCCAGACCGCCTTTTGTTTCCATTACACCAGGTAATTAAGTTGATTGAGGCTGTTGAGGATCTCAAGAGGAAAGTTGACATTCCGGCTACCATCAAGGAGATTTTCAACGACCCGGCCAAGGACGATGAGTTCCTGCAGCGGGTGGACATGTAAGTGAACTGTACATCCGTCCGGTGCCCTTTGGTGCCCCGGGGATATCGCTCTTTCCTAGTGACCGATGGCTGGGAAAATATGTATTATACCCGGAAGCGTTGGTTGCTCGTGGCTTCTCTTGATGGAGAAGGGTTTTTTGGCTACGTATGGAAACATGTGCTGCTTTGCGCATCTGTCTGCAGGCTTGCGGAGGACGCTTTCGATGATCAGTGCACGGGCGCGAACCCGCGCTACCCGCTCATTGCCGATCTAAGGCAGATGCTCCTGGACGCTCATCATGCGCCAATTCTGCCCCTGAAGTCTCTGGAGTTCTTCAGCAAGGTTTAATATCATTGAGACACGTGTGAAGCAGCTGTGTGTTCCCGAGTGATGAGGAGAGGAGCGAGAACATGCTCTCGCAGGTTTTACTTGCGGACCTGCATCGGTGTTCTTTGAATGTTAGGAAGAATTTTGTGTGAATTGTAATTGTACCTGTGACTTGGGTTTATGCGTTGTACTGTCGCGTGTCTATCGTTCGGAGTAAAGGTGTCCTATGTCTTAAGCTGCTACTGCAGCAACCGTATCATTACGTGCTGTTCTGTACGTCAGCACGTTAAGCGTTACGAGGTTTGCACTGAATTCTTTAGCGAGCACTTTCGCGTGAGGGAAAATTGGTACATTGCCTCGCCTTCACGCACGTGCGTGTGCTGATAGGGCTCTGCAGTTCACAGGCGATGAGCTATAGCATGTTCAAGGTGACTCAATAACGTGATTGCGGTGTTCACGCACGCTTTGGCTTCCCTAGGCTCCTTGCATTTGCAATTGTAACAAAATCAACAAGCTCACTAATAATAGATGGTCCATATATTCCCTTCAACACCGTCTGCAATTGTAACGAAGCATATGAAGATGTGCAGTCCCTACGGATTGTAATCCCTACGGATGACCATAGGAGGAATGTACCAACACGGTATCACGTGACGCCTTGCCAACAGTTTAACCCCTGGTTGGCTCACATGCGCTGTCGTACATCGGGTGATAGGATGGCAGAATAAACGCTACGGCCACGGCAACGAACACGGTGAGCACGTCGTCACCAGTGAAGAAGAAATTGTGCCGACAGCAACCTTTCTCCTGTACAACACCTTGTACGGTCCTTCTATGTAGAACGACTGCTATCCTTCAACATATAGTAGCTGACCGCTGAAAAGGCCTCCAGAGGTGTTTGGTGAAGCGCGCGCGCTTCTCGACGCGCGTCGCGCGTATTTGTAGATGATATGTGTGCGGTACTGTGTATCAGAGAGTACAGCTCAACATACCGAGGCACGCCGCAGGGTTCCAGCGTGTGCGTTACGGTGAGGTACGGTGCTGCTCATAATCTCCCGCGATTGGTCTTCTATCAACCAGCTAAAGGGCGCCCCGGGAGCCTTACAATATATACTAGACACGCAGAGCAATATACCTCTATATTGCTACTATATATATGCTGCACTTGTACGGCACATGCACGGCAACCGTGCGGCGGCAGCTTGCTACCAAAATACAACATATATCAAACATACTATCACATTACGATGCACATAGCCCTGCTCTGCCCCGGTGCCTCCTAAAAATTCAACGACAACGCCGTTTAGTACCGGATCTTCCGCCGCCCATTATAGCGACGGCAGTGATTGCAGCACGAACACGTCCTGGTCTAGCGACACCTACTGTGGGCGGAGCAGGAGGATAAAGTGATGGAGCTATAGGGAAAACATTCAAGGCTCCTGAAGAGCCTCCCCCCCCGAACCAGCGAACCAGCGAACAAGTCGACAGGAGCACAGGAGCAACTGCAACGTCAACCACCATAGCCACCGCAGCAATCACAACAAACATAACACAGTCCCTAAGGCACTGATTGGGTCAGTAACCCATGGGTTACCCATCTTCAACCCCCGGTAGCCCTTTGGTAACCCCCTTGTAAGTTCCTACCCAGCAGGAGGGGTAACACGGCCCCAGGGTAAACCCCTCCGTTGCCCTGGACTATGGACATATGTATGGGCCTATAGGCTACTCGTCTTATATGCTTCCCACATCGTAAATTCCGCTTAAGGATACTTCTAAAAATGTAAACGTTAGCAACCTACAGTATCGTGGTATCTCGGGAAGCATTTCAACCTTAAGGTCTCTAATGCTAGCATCACACACGCAAGAAATAAGCAATAAGTACCTATGTCTTGGCCTGTTTGGCTTGTAGATGAGTACAGGAGAGGGGCGAATGCTGGCAACACACACGCAAGTCGACGACAGGTCTTCATTAAATGGATGCCTTTGGTTGTCATCCAATGTTATATAATAGTTGTCATTGTGAAACATCAGGCAGTCAGTCCTGAGGTCGGCCGACATATTACCGGCCGGGGGTGGTCGTACGCATATGTGCATGCTGCTTTACCTCCATTGATACTCCTGACAAGCACTTTCAAGCTGAATCACAGCTAATTAGCTTGTAAGCTCATATAGTTTGGTCTTTTAATTAGACGGACATGCTACAATAAGCGATGACCACTATCACGAATTCAGTCAATCATATTCACTGCTGGCATTGTTCCTATTGACCATAGATACAATGCACACATATAATCCACGTTGCAATACTGGTGCGTATGGCGGCAAAAATGGTGGCGTTCTAGCGTTCGCGCGCGCGGACCACCACAACAAGACCGTTGACTGTCTTTCTGCAGCACAGGCCCACACTTATGGTGCACCTCATTTAGCAAGACATCCAGTGACATCCGAGGATTTTTACCTGAGGGTGCCTTACACTTCGCCGGGTGTGACCGTGTTCGGGGTGTCGGATCTCCCGCCCAAGACCTTTGACGCTCTTAGGAGAGCCTGCTCTGAAAATGAGCAGACTCTGGATAGTGTTGCATAGGTCGTGCGTAGAGCTGGAAGTAGCAGGTCGGGACGGGGCACTTAAGCTACTGGCCGACCTTAAGGTAATGTAAGCTTACATTGCCGCCCGTTGGCTGGTCCGCGAGTTTTAGGTCTTGGGTCCGGAGCGGCGGTAAGTGCCTGGACCTTTTGATAGGAATATTTATTGGCTTCACTGGCGGCTTCTCGCTGGCGGCGGTCCCCAATTTGCTCTGCCTACGTACGCCTCTTCGTCCTCCTCCTTGCATCTAGGCTGCAGCTGTGTGCCTTACCCTTAGGTCTAGGTTTCTACACAAGGCATGTTTTGGTGCGTCAATGTTGATAATTGGGCATTCACAAGTGATTGGTGAAGACATGTATGTTTGCGTGTGTAGACAGGCGAGACAGGTGCAGGTGAATGTAAACATGGGTTACCCTGTCTGTTACCCATCAGTAGTGTATTACCCCGACCCCTTTGTTACCCCTCAGTAAGGGGTTACCCCTACCCCGGGGTTAGGTTACCCACCTCCCTTCGTACATAGCCACATGGGTAACCCCTAACCCTACACCCTGGGTTACGCTTAAGGGGGGGTTACCCCCCGTTTTATGCCATAGGGAGTTTGAGACCGCAGATGCAACAGCAGCAAATGCAGCATCAACTGTCGTCGAAGCCATCGCAACAACAGACCACGCAATTGCAGGTAACGAAGCTGCAACAGGGACAGTTGGAGCCAGTGCAGCAATATCCTGCCTCATTACCAGCTGGCCTGCTGGCTCTACTCTTCGTGAGTCTAGAGCCCACTGCAACAACCATACACACATTTTCATCAAAAGCATCGTGGTGCAGAGCAGCGCGTGCGTGCGTGCGTGCGCTGCTATGTAAGCGTCATTAATTGCTGCCATGATGCATGGAGCACACCGGCCTAGTGGCCGCCAGGCCGGTAACGAGCGACCCATAAGGTTCTTTATCGTGCCCGTCTCAAACATTCAACGAACAGAAGAACAGAAAAAAACACATTACCCAAACTTTGCACCTAAATTTCTACCACTTGGTTGGTGCTGCTGGACGCTGTGCCTGGTCGTTCGGCGGCCCCAGGCTGGATCCGCCGCCTTGGACTTACAGTTCGTATGGCGAAGTACAGTGTGGTAGTGGTGGATGGTGCTATAAATCGTAGAACTGACAATGTGATAAAGCGGCCCAGAAGCCTCCCACTCTGTAACATTACAAATACAAATTACATACCTACTAAGCGCGGAAAAGAGCTTATACTTATAACGGCACTTAGCGATAAACGCTACCCCTGCTATCTGTTCCAGACACTTGCAGTTGCCGTACATGCTTTGCGTCGGGTCACCAGCGATACGACCTTCCCTGGCGTATTAGGACAATTCCTTGCTATGGCAAGAACTATAACCCCGCCGCCCGCAAAGTCCATTCAAGAGATGTGTGTCCACGTTCGCAGGACGAGATCTCGGTTTATGATTTCGGTTATAGTTGCGCTTATTCCGCTTACGAGCCTGAGCAGAGCTGACGACCGGCAAACCGAGTCCGACACCAAATAACGAAAAATCGCTCTCCGTCAGGGCTAATTTGCAACCGGAAGACGTTGGGAAGCAAAGCGGCCGTGGATGTTATTAGAACAGTCATAAGGGACGCATCAGCCAATTATAAATCTGTCAAAGTGTAGCACTATAGTCTGAAGTCTAGTCGAACCGTAAAACCGTAAAACTGTAAAACATAAAAACACCTCTGGCTCCACGCGCGCACACACACACATATTTGGCACACGCGCACACCATCTTTTTACCTCATGACAATTTCAATAATAAGCCCGTAAGCCCGTAAAAACCACGATCCTTTATCTTCTTGGGCAGTTGCCGCATCGCGCTGTTTTGGCATGCGTTAATATAAGCATGATGCTCAGGGTCAGATATGTAGGAAATGCTACTGCTGGTACTGCAGCTAATAATACAGTTTTCTGCTGCTGCTGCTGCTGCTGCGGCGGCGGCGGCGGCGGCTGCTGAGTTTTATTGCCGCCTTTTTATTGCTTTTTATTGCAGCGTGCGACTTTATGATGGCAGCAACGCTACCGCTGTCTGGTTCGCGTCACGGGAAAAGGAGGCTTGCGAAATGTATCTGGGCACTTGGGGCAAAAAATAATTTTTTTTGGCCCCCGATTATTCCGCTACCGACGTCTGAAACTGCCGTCTTGAGATGCATCATGCAGTCACAGTCGACAGTCACATCCTTTTCTCTCCCTTACGTAATCGGCGCATGCGCCACCTTATTGTCGCTAAAGATTGAGTTGGCGAGCGGCGCCCATTGCTGCTGCCACCGCTCACGTAAGGAGGCTGAGGACTGCAGTCTCGGCCGGTCCGCACCTCCGTTGCGTGCGCTGCCGCCGCCGCCGCCGCCGCCGCCTTCTTTTCCCCCACCCTCCGACGGCGCCTCAGTCCCCAGCGGCCCCTGCGTCCCTTCCTTCAAATTAGGTTCGCTGCCAGTTGGCCGGTTCTTCAACTGCATCGACCGCCGGAACGACCGTAATGCGGCCGTCAGGCCGCCGGTAGCGGAGCCTATCCTGATCGAGTTGCTTCTCCTGCTCTTAAGGCTGCTACTGCTGGTGCTGCTCCGGGCGACGGCGGCGGAAGCGGCGGCGGCGGAAGCGTCCTCCTGCAGCCCCGCCCGCGTCGGCGACCAAATGTACGGCCACCGCTCCACCTGCCCGTCCGTCGACTTGACCTTCTTCAGCCTCGGGGCGCCGTACGGCACCAGAACCCGCTGGCTGCCGGTTCTCCAGTATTGCTCCATGGCGCTCCGAAGCCGGGCACGCCAGCCCCTTCGTGCGGCGTCAAGCACGAACATGTTACTGCGCCTGCTCCTGTCGCCGTCGGCGGCGGCGGGCGGCGGCGGCTTGGGTGACGGCGGCGCCGGCGCCGGCTTCGGAGGTGGCGGCGGCTTCAGGCCGTCGTTGCTGCTTGCCGACGCATAGTGCATGGCGGCGGCGATGAGGTTTGTCGAGGTACTTGCAGCAGCTCCCGGACTGGGCCGAAACTGTGGATCATCTTCACCGCCGCCGACGCCGCCGACGCCGACGCCGCCCCCGCTGCCGACACTCCTCCTGCGCTGCTCCTCGCCACCTGCCGCCGCTAGCTGGAATGCCTGGATCGGATCCAACGAAACGTCCTTTGAGGTTTGTGATGCCGGTACGTTGCAGGCCGTCGTGCCCCGAAATCCGGCGGTGGCTTCCGCTCCAGCGGCGTCGGCGGCAACACAAGTAACGGTAGCAGCAGCGCCGGCGGCAGCAGTCGAGCGGCCGAGCCGAGGGCCCTTGGACCGGGAAGCCGCCTTCGGCGGCGGCGGCATTATGCCCCTCCCGCTGCTGCCGATATCATCCCCGCTGTACGGCAGGACAGCATTTATGCTGAACCGCGAAGCGGCATTTCGGTTGGCAGGGCCCGGTGTTATTGACGGCGATGGCGGCGACATCGAGCATGCTACTGCGGTGGTGGCGCCGTCACCGGCATCGTTGTGCTGTGGAGTACCCCCGCTGCCGCTGCCGCAACAGTTACCTTCACCTCCTCCTCCTCCTCCTCCTCCTCCTCCGCCGCCGCCGCCGCCGCTGCCGCTGCCACGGCCGCTGTAGCTGCATCTTCCCGCTGCTGACGATACATGGTCCTCAAGGAGTCCGGTTTCGAATCCTTTCCGGTTCACATGATAATTATCTTTTTCCTCAGCTGTGGCTGATGGCCATGGGTGCGGCGGGGGGGCTTCCTGCGCCGGCAACGTCATCGACAGGCTGCACTGGCCTTTGCTGCAACTGCCAACCAAGTGTGGACACCGGTAGTCGGACACCGACCAGCTGCTCAGGTCGTCTGGTCGGAGGTTGTTAGAGGCTATTGGATGTTGGGGTGCCGATGACGATGATCCCGTCCTGCACACTGCTCGATCAGGCACAGCGAAGAGTGAGGAAAAGCCAAGTGAAGGGATCCGAAGGGGTCCGAAGGAGAACGCGGGGTTCCGTCGGGGAGCGAAGAGGATGGCGAAGAGAGCGGTGGGAGATGCGAGGGGGGACGGTGTGTTTTTGACACCAACAGCTATTGTCTACGGATCGCTCGCACGCGTAAGATGTTACAGTACGGCGCCGGACGGCGATGGCAACGCCTTAGCAGGCAGCAACCTCATGACGAGTCCAACCAGCGACACGATATCCCGCCCGTACCCTCCACCCAGCCCAGCCCAGCCCAGCCCAGCCCAGCCCAGCCCAGCCCAGCCCAGCCCAGCCCAGCCCAGCCCAGCCCAGCCCAGCCCAGCCCTATCTTACCAGGGCGCATCTTGTTACTCCGGTGATGTCGCAGCACTGACAGCAACTTGGGCAGTCCCGACGTCGCTGACGTCGCCGCCGCTGCGCCCATGATGGTGGCGGCGGCGGCGTCAGCGGTGCCGGCGGCGTTGCGCCGCGACACCGACGACGACGATGACAACCTCCTTGACTTCGAAGCAGTCAACGAGCGCGCGCGCACGGCAGATTTACGGTTCCTGGGCATGTCGGTATTGCTGCCAGCCGCGTGGCCCTCCGCCGCCAGCGCACTTGGGCCTTTCGGGGGGCCTGGCGGGCGGTGTGCAACTCCGCGAGGCGGGGGCCGGTAGGAGAGGCCATGTATGGTCTGGTACCGCAGACACTACAAAAGCAAAATTAAACGGGTGGGTTGGGCGGGCGTACATACATACCGACATTACTAGGGTTTGGCACCACTGGTAAGGCGCGACCATTGCCCCCGGGAGATCCCGGGATCGATACCCCTTAGGGTCAAAAGTCCTTCCGATGGTGGAAGGCATTGCGCCCCTAGTTGATGGACGGTGGTGACCTGGGATAAAGTTAACCTGCGAGCCGACCAGGAATGGAGTTGCGCCGCTGTCGACCCGGCAGATTCCGTTGGATGCTGGTGGTGGGTGCGGAACCTGAGCGATCCACTGAGAAGTTGACTAGGGTGACTGGATGAGGGTGCCCCGAAATACCGGGGAAGGCAGGGTTTCGCAGGGTAGCTGCCACGGGCGAAGATACACCCCCCTGTTTCACACATCATACCGACCAATTGACTTGGCAATACGGCAGTACGACAGTACAATAGTACGACAATACGGCAGTACGACAGTATGGCAGTACGGGAGCGCATTCATTGAACCCGTAAAAAACGCCGAGCCAGGCGTTTACCTCACCTGTAGGGTTTCCTCCCAGCTTATCGTGCTTTCCTGGCCCCCATTGGGCCGCCGCCGTCTCGGGACGGAATCCGAGGCGGAGGCGGCGACGGCGGCGGCGACGCCAACGCTTCCGTGTTCGCTGTATAAGCTGGTGCTGCTGGCGCTGCTGTGGTTTCCATTGGAGACCGTTACATCACGATGTCGTACGAATGTCGTACGGTACGGCGCGACCATGCCCGTCGCGCCCGGCGCGATACTGTCGGTGCTGGGCCGGTGACCAATGGGACCGTGGAAGGAGCTCTGCACCTTGGGCGGTTCGCGCAGGCGTTTGCGATCCGCGCCGGAGACCGGAACAGATGGCGGCGAAATCCCAAGAACGGCATCGCTACGCCGGTATTCGCGGTCAGCGGCGGCGGCAGCGGCGCCGCCGCCGCCGCCGCCATGAGTAACCACCGTGATGCGGCCTCGGATGCTCATGTCTGGCGTCGGGGCCACAAGCCCGACCCCGGAATGGACGTTTGCCGCCGCCGCCGCCGCCGCCGCAACTGTGGATCGGGGAAGAGGACCTTTAAGGGCAGCGATGGTATCGGAGGTGTTTAAAGGCGACGGCGGTGGCGGCGGCAGCGTGTATGGCACGCCGGCGGGAGCGTAGCCTTGGAGCATCCCCCCGTATTCCCTCAGGTGCGATGCAGCGCCGCCGCCGCCGCCGCTACTGCTCCGCACACCTCGCGACGGCGTCACAGAAGCGCTTGTGCCACCGCCTCGTCGTACACTGCGGTTGGAATCCACCGTCATCGCCTCCGCCGGCCCGCTGGGCCTACCCCTGAGGTGGGTTGATTCACCTTGGCTGTCGTCGGTGACGTCGGCTGCATCAGCCGTGTACGGCGAGCAGGACGAGGAGACAGCCGAAGGGACGGGGTTTCCAGCGGTGACGGCGGCGGCGGCCGCAATGCTAGCGGGCGGGGCTGGCCTCGCCGCCACAAGCGACATCGACATTGGTAAGGGCGCGGCGCCCTTGCGCCGGCGCACCGACGGCGTCGATGCCGCATCTGACTCAGCGCCCGCGCAGGATGCCGTCATGTGGCCGTTACGGCGGTGCAGCGGTGACGCGAGGCGCGCCAGCAACATGGCGTCATGCTTGTCGTACATAGCAGTGTACTTCCAACTGGGGCTGTGCGCCGTCAGCGCGGCGTAACGATCTACGGCTATACTCCCGGATAAGGTATTGCTGGACGTCTTTCCTTCGCCACGATCGCCGCTGCTGTCGCCGACGTCGCTCCCGCCGCCGCCGCTGCCGCCGCTCTGAACCCCTCTGCCCTCTTCATTTCCATCAGTTCCGCTTTCTTCTCGCGCGCCTTCGTCATCGCTTTTCCCCAGCGGACCGGGGCCCTCACCAAAGGGACATTGACGGACGCCAACGCTAATCTCAGCGCTGTCGCCGGACGCCTCCGCCTCCGCCTCCGCCGCCGCCACCGCCGCGATCTCTTCAGTGCCATGGCTTATAACCACATCCAGGCGCGACGGTCGCAGTCGCCAGTACGACGTCCCGAATTCCCCGCCGTCGGAGCCCGCGCTGCGGTGGCTGAAGACGAAGGAGCCGCTGACGCTGCCGCATATGCGGCGGCCGAGGCCCTTGCGGTCCTGGCTGCCAGCCAGGGCGGGAGTCACGGACGGTGTCTCCGGTGCACTGAAACGGGTGCGAGGGGGCGCGATGCCGAAGGAAGGCTCCTCCGCCACCGCGTCGTCCTCCTCCTGGCTTCCACTGGGGTCCCTGGCGCAGAAGGGCGTATGGAGTCCCGTCGTACCGTCGATGCAGCGGCGCCTGGACGCCCACCGCTCCGAAGTTGCCGCCGCCGCTGCTGCCGCTGTGAGTTGTGACGGCGGCGGCGCGGCCGCCGCCGCCGCTGCTGCCGCGGCAATATGCTGTGTCGTGGAAATTCGTGGAGTATTGCTACAGCCGCCGCTGCTGCCGCTGCCGCTGCCGCTGCCGCTGCTGCCGCCGCCAACCGCACCTCCCTGGTTCTTGAAACCTGCATCTGCCTCAACCGCGTCCGAGGTCGCCGCCGCCGCCACCGCCGCCGCCGCTGGGCCCCCGAAGCCAGCATCCTCCTTCTTCGGCGGCGAGCGCAGGCTGCGGTAGGGCGATGATGAGGAGCTGCCGTCTGCTGAGATTGCCTTGGTTTCGGAGCGCAGGCGGTAGTGGCAACTGCTAGTGCCGCTACCGCAGTTAAGGAGGGAAACGCTGCCGCCGCTTGTAATGCCGCCACTGCCGCCACTGCCGCCACTGCCGCCACTGCCGCCACTGCCGCCACTGCCATTACTACTGATACTGCGGCCACTGCCGTAGCCGCGCCCTCGCAACCCCGTCCCCACAGCTCCTTCGTGGACATCCACAGCGCTGCCAGCCGGTGTGGGGGAGGCGGGTACAGCATCGGTAATACAAGCGCTGATGGTACGGGACGGCACGAGGTCGACGGCAACGTCGACGCCGCCGCAGCCTAGCGGTGGCTCATCCCCCCCCAATGCGCCATCGTTTGGTCGCGAGACTCGCGGCTCGCGCCTTGACGGCAAGTCCTCAGGGCGCCAAATATCCACCTGACCCGGCAGGACGGGGTCGCCGTACGCATCGTCGCTGTGGGCGGCAGCGCCTGCTGCTGCTGCTGCTGCGGCGGCGGCGGCGGCGGCGGACTGCCGCGGGCCTCTGCCGCCTCCGCCGCCAGTGTCACTAGCGCGGAGCTGACCCCCAGAGGCTCCGCTGCCTTCGTTACATGTCGTACCTGTCGTAGCGCTGCAACCACCACCTTCCGCGGAATCGTCGCTGTATACCGCGTTGAACCCACCATCATCTGCAACGTTTCGCAATGAGTCAAAGTGCATGCTGCTCTCCTCCCAGATGGTGGAGTGGTGGCTGAACCGGTGCTGGTCACGTGCACAGCCGCCGCCACCGCCGCCATAGGAATCAGCACCACCGCCTCCGCCGCCTCCGCTGGCGGCGACGGTGGCAGCGGCCGCGGGGGACCGTACACGTCCGCAGTGCTGTTCCGGGTCGGCGGCTGATGCCACCGCCTCGCCCGCCAGCCGCCACAACATCTTGGCCGTAATCTGGTCCATGATGCCGCCGGAGAACTCCGCGTCAGGTTCCGCCGTTGCCTCCGCCGTGGCAGCGGTAGCGGGGACGGAGACGGCGGCGGCGGCGCCGCCGCCGCCGCAGCCACCATCGCCGTTAGGCGCGGCGACCCGGCGACATAAGCGAGGAGGCGACGTGTGAGGTGCCGGAATTTCCTTCAGGTCCTCATCAAGCCGCCCTTCGCCCAGCCCAACCGCCGCCAGGCCAAAAACCGTCCCAAAGCGTCCCCCTCCCAAGAAGTCGGTTTGAAAGCCAGTGCCAGCCTGCGGCTCCCCCTCCTCCTCCCCCTCCTCCTCCCCCTCCTTCGCAGCCCCCAACAGGATTAGCTCCTGCTGCTGTAACGCCTGCGCATGGGCCTGCGCTACCGCCAATGCACGTATCAGTGCGTCCTGGCTGCGGTGTCGTTGACGGAACAGAACCGCTTCTTCGACGGCACGCTCCGCCGCTGCGACGGTGTACGGCCCCGGCGGCGTCGCCGCCAGCTGCAGCAGCAGCCGTACAAGTCTACGAACGGCCCCTTCATCCACTGCCTGATCGCCTCCATCAGTGGTAGAAGCGGCGAACATGCAAACGCCGCCAGCGGCACTGCTTCTGCCGCCATAGCTACTGCCGCCAAGGCAAATGCTGCAATCTCCGCCGCCTGCGGCATGGTCGTTGCCATCTTCAACACCCTCGGCGCCGACTGCGACATCATTGCCGCGGGTTTGCTGTACCGGGCACGGAGATGGAGGGGAAGCTGGGAAGGAAGGGGGAGATTGAAGGGGGAAGGGGGATTTGGGGGTTTTGTCTGCGGCTCTGAATGTAACTCTTTCAGTGCTGCGGAGGGCGCCGACTTCCTCGACGGGCCCGGTGCTGGCCACAGCCTCCCTCTGCCCCGCCTGCCCAACCGGGGGTCGGATTACTTCCCCCTCTGATGTGTCCTTATCATCCTCTGCTACAATTACTACTACTGCTGCTGATGCTGCTGATGCAGATGGTGATGATGATCTTGTTGCTACTGCTGCTTCTGGCTCTGTTGCTGCGTCAGCGTACGGTGGTGGCGTTTCATCATCGGCACGTCTTTGGAACGTCAAGCTTGCTGCCACGACGTCTTGCTCCCATGCCAGGAAAGATTGCGGATCACCGGCGGCTGATGATAACAATGATAACTGTAGGACATCGGCATGCAGGTGCCCGGCACCCGTAGCAGCAGTAATCGCAGCGGTGGTATCCACATCCACAGCGGCACCGGCCGTCGCCCCAACAGCATCACCACCAGCATCACTTCTCACCCTCTGCTCGGCGGCACTGCTTTTGTGTGTATCATCGCAGCAGTTGTCGTCAGCGGTAACAACAGTAGCGGTAACAGTAGCAGTAGCCTCTGCTGGTTGTGCAGGAGGAGGTGACGTAAACATCAGCCACTCCGCACCTCCTGGATCTGGAGGGTCCCTTGGGTCACCTTCACCGCTCAGAGCCAACTGGATGGCCACCTCAGCGGGAGGAGCTCCAACGCCGCCGCTGCCCCGTGTCGGCGAGGGAGCCCACGGCGGCGGCGGCTGAGGCGGTGGCGGCACTCCTGCCGGCGGCGACGGTGACGACTGCACCGGCCGCGTCGGCCTCTGATGCTGCGACGCGAGTCCGGCCGCGGCAGCAGCATGCGTCACGACGCTCAGGGGGCCGTTGGCGGCGGCGCTGGGCGCCGCTTGGGCGGCCGCTGCCGCAGGAGCCGCCGCTGCCGCTGCCGCGGTCGGTGGCGAGGCGGGGAAAAAAGCCGGCGGCAGCCCCGCCCTGCAGGAGCTATCACCCTTACACTCCGCTGCGTGCAGCAGGCTGGCCTCCACTCCCACCTCAGCTTCCACTTCCTCGCGCGTCAAGGCAGGGGAAGAAGTTTCCTTGAGTGGCAAGGACGCGGAGCCTGGTGTGCTACGGCCAGAGACGGGGGCCCTCCTGTCCTGGCGCTGGCTCGTCCCCGTTGCCGCCGGCGGCCCCGTCGACCTGGCGGCGCCGGGAGCGGACTGCCTGGGGAAGCAGGCCCTGGATCCAGATCCAATCCATGATGATGATGATGATGATGGCGACGGTTTATCGGCTCCCGGAAGAACCTGGGGCTGATGTGTTGTGGTGTGTGTGTATGTGTATGTGTGTATGTGTGTATGTGTGTATGTGTGTATGTGTGTATGTGTGTATGTGTGTATGTGTGTATGTGTGTACATGGGGACATGGGGACATGGGGACATGGGGACATGGGGACATGGGGACATGGGGACATGGGGACATGGGGACATGGGGACATGGGGACATGGGGACATGGGGACATGGGGACATGGGGACATGGGGACATATGTGCGGAGGGGGCGGTTGTGAGCGGTCCCTTTTCCAACTTCGCACCCAACAACCCCCTTCGCCCCCTCTCAACCGTTTCCCCAGAACAAGCTTTTACGTACGTCCGGTGGTGCTGGCTGGCAGGCCTAGCTTCCTATAATGGCGATTGGCAGTGAGGTTAGGAATCCTAGGGATGCAAAGCCGATTTTTATTTGGAATTCTTAAATAGGTTTACCTTCAGAAAACGTTTTTGGCCCTCTTCCTTGTCACCACTGCCCCCGCCGCCGCCGCCCCCGCCGCCGCCGTCAGCATCGCTGGCTGCTGATGTTGCCGCTACCGTCGCCTGCAGCAGAGCTCGCCGTACATCCAGTTGCAACTTCTCCAACCGCCGCGCTCCATAACCACCCCAAGGCTCCAAAACCTGGATGGGTTCACCGCCGCCGCCGTACTGCAGCAGCAGCTGCTGCTGCTGCTGCTGTCGCTGTGGCGGCGCCGCCACCGTAGATGTCACTGCTGCGCGGTGGGGTTGCAGCTGCACTACCGGCGGCCTCGCCATCGACCCAACAATGTCCTCCTCCTGCTGCTGCTGCTGCTGCCGCTGCTCCACAACGATAAGCTGCCCCTTGCTGCGGAAACCTCCTCCCCGGCTACTTGCCGCTCTTCCTGCTGGTTGTTGTTGTTGTCCCGTAAAGCAGCCCCTCAGCAGCATCCGCACCCTGATGCCCAACGGAGGTAATTCCGCGAGGGAGGAGGACCGCGCGCCGAGAGTTGTATATACATATCTTTAAGGACCGATGTCTCTCTCCTCGAACTAACTGCTTACAATTGCAATGGCCTGGCGGCGGCCCTCCCAGGAGGATGCGCACTAACGCTTGATATTGCGTGGGGAGGTTGAGGGCGAGCGATGCTGCACCGATGTAATATACCAGATAGACCCCCAGCCGTAATGCAGGTGGATGCCGCGATGTGGGATGTTGGGATGGCAGGCTCGTTTAGGCCGGTTGGCAAGTTGTCATCCAGGCTTGCAGCAGGACGGTGATGAACCGGCTGAATCTTGTTTTTATATGTGTGTACATATGATTTAAACGCTTATACTAATGCATGCACGCCAGGGCTCAAGCCCCTGAGTATTTCCTTACGACTTGTATACCTTGGCAATGTACGTAAATAACCCCGGATATAACCTGATGTACGTCCGTAATAGGTATCGATATTTAACCGATATTTAACCGATATTTAACCGATATTTAACCGATATTTAACCGACAAGTAACCCGGCATCTGCAAGCCGGCATATTTCATAAAATAATTGTACACGCGTAAAAAATATATATATGCAGATACATAGGCTAACAGAAGGCCAAACATACAGACAGACAAGGCGAGGCAGCGCTTTGTAACGCCAGCGAGCTGAACAGCTCAAAAGATGTTGAACAGGTCGCGGATCCAAGAAGCCATTACGCATTACTGCTGCTCCTGCTAATTTCGACCCTCTTAATAACAGTTGTTTCCTTATCACCCATCCAACTAACCTGTCACTCAGAGAGACGCGGACAGCATCATCACGAGCAGCAGCAGTGTTAATAGTAGCTGCCGTTGCTGCGGCCGTACTGCCTGTACTGCCTGTACCGCAGCCAGCACCATTAGTACTGCCAGCATCATTAGCATGATGACTAGTACCAGTAACACCAGCACCAAGGAAAGGCGGCTCCAGCAACAACCCCGCCAATCCGTCTTCGATGGCCCCATTGGGTTTCATTCGTCCAGGCGCCCCGGACGAAGGGCTCCAAGCTCCAACAGCTCCACTGCCCGCAGCCAGGACCTTCGCGCCGGCAGCAGCCGCGGCCGTAGGGGCCGCAGCAGCGGCACCAAGCGCGGCAGCCGCTGCAGAAGCAGGATGCAGCACGGGAGGTAGAAGCAGGCGACCTGACATCAGCAGCCCCAGCCACTCACCCTGAACTTCCAGAAGCTTTTTCAATTTAGCTTCTCCTCCATCTCCGTCTTCCTCCTGCTGCTTCTGCCCCTTTTCGTCCTCTTGCTCATCATCATCATCATCATCATCATCATTACCATCATCATTCTCACCATCGTCTTCATCGCCATCGCCACTATCCCCACAATCATGGCCGCCACAGCCGCCACTGCGACCGCTAGCCCGACAGCCACCGCCTTGGCGCGCAGCTGCACACCCGTCACCACCGCCGCCGTCTTCGCCAACAGTATCCGCAGCGTTAGCGACCTCAGCAGTGCTGGCGGTGGCGACAGCGGCGGCGACGGCGCCGCCCCCCCCATTGCCACTTCGCACCGCAAGCGGGGAGCTGGGGGTGCTCTGTCGGCCGCCGCCGCCGCCGCTGGTGTAGGGTCTCCTGGCGGAATTTCCAGCGCTGCACCTGCCATCGCGCCCGCTGACACAACTGCCAAAACCACCGCCGGAATGAAATCCGTTGCGCTGGCGCTGCTGGTGCTGGTACTGATAGCGACCTAGTGTCGTGCAACGTTGAAGGCGCAGGCCGCCCAAGCCACCAGGGCCCTGCGGTGGTGGGGCACCGCCGATGTGTTTTGGTTTCGGAGATGCCACCGGAACAGCCTTTTTGCAGCCCGCGATGGCGACACAGCGCAGGAAGGGCGGCAAGATGCCTCGATGCAGAAGTGGCTGTAGTTCCCGCGAGCAACAACCGCCGTAACGGCTGCCACAACTGCCGCCGATGACGACGTCACAGCTTACGCAGCCGCCGCCGCTGCCGCAACCATTGTCTGACGCAGCTACTGTTCTTGCCGCCGCCGCCGCCGCCGCCGCCGCCTCGTTGCCGCAAGAATCCGGCTGAGGGTGCATTCCAGAGCCGGTACTTTGACGTAGTACGGCCGCCAACGCCGCAGCAGCAGAGGCCCGTCGCCTCGCCTCGCCGCGGAGTGGTGCCACCTGCTCCGCTGCGCAGGGCATCGCAGCCGACGTCGCCGCCGCCGAGGCTTCAGCAGGCGGCAGCGGCAGCGGCTGCGCCGCCGCCGCCAGCCTGATGAGGAGAAGCTGATCCAGGAAGGGAAAGGCAGCGCAACGGTACAACCGGCCCGCGGAGGACGCGAGGGCCGATGATAGCAGCGGCGGCGGCGGCGGCACCGCTGCCGCCGCCGCCGCAAGGGACTGCCCCTTAGCTAGCAGGAGCCCCAGCGGCGACTGTCGTACGGCTCCGTAACCTGAGCCGTCTATGGAGTCGCCTTTAATGGAACGGAAGCTGTTCACGAGCGGGGTGACGGGAAGTCGGAGCAGCAGTGGCGACGACGGTGACGGCGGCGGCAGCGGCGAGGACGGTGACGGCGGCGATTTCGTAAAGCCCGGCGCCACAGCAGCGTGAGCAGACTCTTCATGGGGTTGTGCCGGTGCGCTCTGAAGAGGGGGAGGAGGAGGGGGAGGAGGAGGAGAGGGGGGAGCAAAATTGATGGTAGAACCATGATGGATCAAAACGAAGGAGCTTTTCCAACATGCGGTGGTACGGATGCAGCCGCTTCGTGGACGACCTTCATGCAGGCATCCTTCTTCCCACCCACCCCACGCAACCCCCACCCTACGCATTGGCATGGGACGCGCCACCGTCGCCAGCGGTCAGCCGCTGCCACTGCCACTATCCATCCGTCCGTCCGTCCGTTCGTACGTATGTACGTATGTACGTCCGTTTGTAAGTATGTTCGTATGTACGTACATCCTGCCGCCGCCACCTACCCCACAAAGGCCTGTGCCGCTGTCCGGCAGCAGCCGGCTTTTCTTCGAAGCGCCGCGTGCTGGCGGCTCGCTGTCGTACATGGCCTGCGTTGTCTGCTGCCGCCAGAACCTGACTCTTCCGGGCCTGCTCCCACCGGGCCGCTCTGTCCCAGTCTGGGCCTCCAATCCAGGACCCGACCTAGATGGCGGCGTGCTGCGGCTCATAGGCGGCAACGACAAAAGCACAGCACGGCAAAGCATAGCACGGTCATATCATATCTCAGCACGGCAAGCGCAGCGTATCTCAGAACGGCAAAGCACAGCACGACCAAGCCACATCTCAGCACGGCAAGCACAGCAAGTTACAGCATGGTCACAGCACGGCAATTCACAGCACGGTCACATCATATCTCAGCACGGCAAGGCACAGCACATGAACGTCCTTGTATGCGCGCATACACCCCGAACTGCTCACATCACGGGAACCTCGAGTATGTCGGGGAATGGTGGCAACTGTGATGGCAGCTCCGCTGCTCCAGTGGCCGTCCGCGGAAGGGCCCTATGGACACCTCGTAGACCGCGTTCACCGACCAGCAACTTGAAGGCGCTGGGATCAAGGGAGCAAGAGCGCTGCAGTCGCAGGGGTCTCGCGCCGCCTTTATGCACCTGCGGGTGCACAGACAGTTGTAATGGTGACGCCGCAGCATGCGGCGGCGGTGGCGACTGAGGAGGCGACTGAGGTGGCTGCTGGCCCCATCCGGCGGTGGCGAAAGACCAGCCGCCCCGGGCCGCTGCGCCACCACGCATGACGTTGCTGCTACACTGGGCAGCTGTAGTGGCCTGGCGGCCAAAGAGGCTTGACCTGACGATTTCGGGAGGTCTTTTGAGGTGAAAGTTGAACGGGGAGCCCTGAGCCGATCTTGAAGCCAGTATGCCGGCAGGTGCGGGTTGTAGCTCCTGTGGATGTGATTGACAAATAAGGAAGACGACTTTCCGGAGAAACTACGTACTGGCAGTGCTGAATCATATTGTTTAGTTTAATTTAATAGTTAATGCCATGTTTGTGGCTTAAATCTATGAGTACATGTGGAGATGGGCACCAAGTCCGCGAGTCGGCTTTTCGGCAAGTTGGACACCGCACGCGGTGGGCAATGACCAGCTTTGTAACAACCGTAGTTGCAATCTCACAGCAAAAATATATATTACAGGGATGAAATTTCCAAATAAAACGATGATTATGGTCATCCATTCTCCAACGCTCATCAAGAAAGAGGAAGAGAAGTGGGCGAGACCTGTTTAGTTAGCCCCGAGGTCGGCAGCATAAAGGGCTCCCAGGCCAATTTCATGAGAGCCAGCTGTAGAGCTGCAGATCTGCGATAGATCGGTTTCAGTGGACATGCCCCTCTGGATACCCCCAGATACAAGCTGGGGGTCCCATTTGCCCTAGCAGAAATGTATGGCGAACCCCCGGTGACCCAGCCGCTTATCTTCTTGCACTTCTTCCCACACGCGGCTCTGCACAATACGGTCCTACTCTCACCTGCAGCGTGAATGGCTCGGGGCCGATGTGCAGCAGCACTGCCAGGTCGGCGTGCAGCTGCTGCAGGCCGAAACACTCCCCTTGGAGTGCTTCCAGTCCCAGTGCGCCAGGGCCGGGACGCACCCCCACCGCGATGGTGTTGAAGTGCAGCTGGTCGGCAGCGGCAGGAAGGTACTGGACCTGTCGGGATCGATGCGAATGTTGGAGGGATGTGTGCGTGTGTGAGAGGGTGTGGTGAGAGTTTGAGCGAAGAAGCGAAGATGGGCGTTTTTAGGGATCGACACCGATGTTCCAAAATTTTGAACAGAACAGACCACAAAAGTGGTGTGGCATGTTTGACACTCCGGTCTTCTATAACCAATCTTTTTAGCTGTTTGGACTGTTTGAGGCTTGCGCACAAGTGGCAAAAAAGTGGAATGCATACGCATTGAGGTATCGATATCGCTTTTGCATGTTAAGGGTCGTATAACTGGCTCTGGGAAAGCCATTTCTGATATCTGCCAACGTATCATTCCCCGACGTTTCAGAGCCTGGGCGTTGAGAACCAACCTGGACACCTGCGCGAGGTGCCGCATCTGATATGCGAACCACACGCCCGGCTAGCAGTGTTATACCCGCGAGCAGTTGGCCAGATGAAGCTCCAGTATCGGTTCCTGCGGAGTCTGCTCAGAGTGTCGATGGAAGGCCTCGTCGTTGCAGCGCGTCGTTCGACTTGCCCATGGACATGTGCGAACGAGTGCGCGGTCGATTCTCGTACCTGAAATGACTACACATCGCAGCCCAGGTGCATGTCGCAGAATTGATTGGCCTAATGTGGCGCCGTGCTGTGGGTTCCGGGCAATCACGCAAACCGTCGCTGCCATAGGACGGCCCGTGGACCGGTACTGTAGTACGCTTTACTAGACCGCCAAACAAAGGCTGTGAGGCGTGCTATTTGAGTTTTTCAAGCTCATTCGGAAAGCTTTTCGCGAAAACGTAAGCACGTGTGCGACCTGTCAGTTGATCCTGGCGTACAAACTCTAGCGAAATTCAGCATCCGAGAATGTAAAGGTAGGAAAGCTTACACTTAAATAAATTCATCCGTTGCAATATTATATGTCCTTTGCATATATGGCAAATCTTCGCCCTCTAGGCGAGGAAGACGAGCAGACCCGGATAAAGTACAGCAGTCTGCCTAAAGCGAAGGGCTACACCAAAAATCGGGTTAACGCAATCCTAATATTTCCGAGTTAGCAATATGAAATGTGAGGGCACAATAGGTAAGGCTTCCGTGTTGGCTCACTTGCATCATGTCAACGCGGTAGCGAGCATCTTACCTGACACACCTCGGGTGTCCCATTGCCATCAGTTTAATTGTTCATTCGTTCATTCCACCCTTCTGCCCATGGCATGCCCATATATGCATAACCCGGCCCAATTCACAGTGCCATCCCACGACATCTCTCCAGTCGCCGCAATGGTAAAATCTACCCGATGGAAACCTCGTCCATGGAAAAGAGATCCAAAGTTCCCCAAACCAGGATACTGAAGTGCACAGGCTTGTCCAAGTATGGTGTTCAACACGGGATATGGGACAGCCGCATCCATTCCTGTTGCAGGCCGTCCCCGGCAGTCATAAGAGCCCTATACGTCATCACACATCATACATCATGACAAAAGCCACCGCGGCATTGCATCGGCAACGCACTCACTGCGGCCCTGTGTGTCGCCCACAAGTCAAATGGATAGATAAGGCATGGAGGAGAGGCGCGCGACGAAACGCAGCGCGTACAGAACCTCCTCCTCCACACCTGACCTGTTCTGGCTGTTCTGCAGCCACACCTCAACACACCAGGCCACAATGCCACGGCAGCTCACTGCTCACAGCCATCAGAAGACACCGCCGCGGGGTTTCGAAACTTCACAGACCACACCATCTCCACCCCCCACCCCCCAAGCAATCCGAGCTGTGCATTATACAAACAACAAACTCAATAGCGCAGAATACGAGACACTAGAAGGTCGCCCGCGGCCGCGACACAACAGCTTCGCACCGCCAATTCCACTTCAAAAACGAGGCAAAATGTCAAAAGAAGGGTCTTTCCCTCCTCCTCCATACAAACACCGAGGCTTTCCAAACAAAAGGATTTTTTTCTCTAGGTCAAAAAAACATTCCACTTTTTCCAAAGCGACAGGCCGCCTGGCCGGTCAGGCAAAGCCCTCGTTCCGCCACGATATTATGCATATTCGACGACTCAAAAGACACGTGTTAGTTACCAAACGCCTGGCCCCGGCTGCAGCGTGCGCATCCACCGCAGGCGGAGAGTTGCCTGCTATCGGGACTGTAGACTTCACCCCTTCACATCCCTTCTCCACCCAAAATGCAAGCCTCCTCCCTCCTTCCCCCCGCCCCCGGTCCGAAGTCTGGTCCCGGCCGCACGCTTTTAAGTCGACCAAAAAAGGGCCTTGGTTGGCGGTCGTAAACGATGATATGCTGATGTTGATGCTGATGCTGCCGCCGCCGCCGCCGCAAGAAAAAGGCGACTCAGCCCAAATAGCTTCCGTAACCCTCTTACCTATCCACCTCCACCACGACCTATATGCCCTAATGGCCACTTCCTTCAACACGAAAATGGAAGCGGCTGCCGCGTGCTAGAGCACGGATGCCAGGTGCGCCACCACCGCCACCACCGCAATCATTCGCCACGTTCCCAACTCACCCACAACAGCAAGCAGAAGCACCACACGCACACACACACACACACACACACAACCCCAACACTGTACACATCACAGCACAACTTGCACTGCCGTATTCGTCTTCCTCCGCAAGGGCTCCTCTGCATCACCATTATCATCATGTGCGTGTATTCATCTATTCGTTCGAGCCGTGGCGTGTAGATGCCGTATTGCCACATCGCATGTCATATCCACGTCCCACGCGCCGGCGCACCCACGACACCCCCCTAAACCAACCAAGAGCCCAGCCACCCCGCCCAGCCACCCCGCCCAGCCACCCCGGGATAAACGCCAAAAAGAGTGAAACAGCCCTCACTCACTTCAATGCTCTATGCCGCGGAAGTGTATCTGAATGCATCCGGCACACCTTGGAGCTCCACCCCCCCACACACGCACACACACCACCGGTCGGATTCCGTCAGGTCCGATCCGACCCGGTAGCAAAATGGCGACTAGGGCTGACAGCCCAATGAACCCCCCTACCCCCCCCCAACCCCAAGCACATCAAGAACCGCCAAGAGCGGTGCAGCACAGTCCGCAACCTTTGCCGTGCATTTACCCCCTTCGCTCTCTCTCTCTCTCTCTCTCTCTCTCTCTCTCTCTCTCTCTCTCTCTCTCTCTCTCACTCACACACACACACACACACACACACACTTCTCGCACCCTTAACATATGGAGGAGCAGGAGGGGGAGGGGGAGGAGGAGGAGGAGCAGGAGGAGGAGCAGGGTCGTATCCCCCCCCGGACCCCATTCGCAATTCGGCACCGTCGTTCAACAAGAGTGGGCTTTTCACTTAATTAATCAATCCTCAAATTGCATACAGATGTACATGCAGATGTACATGCAGAGGTCCCAGAGACCCCAGGTCACTCGCTCAAGCGCGCCTTTCGTGAATTGCAAACAGCCGCCACGACAGGAACACGACATGAAACGTTATGTGGTCCTGTACTGAGACACACACGCGTACATACATAATACAGATGTACACTGACATTCACGCACCGCCTCCGCCACTAGCCCGCTCAGCATCGTTCGTCTAGCAGCCCGGCTCCATAAAAAGAAAGGCACACACCGCCGGCGCGCTCGTCCTCGTTCCCATGGATGTATGGATGTATGGATGCATGTATGTATGTATGTCCGAAGCCGTCGCATGCCCGCGTCCGTCTCCGTCGGAGTCAACCTAAGACCCCCTCATTTTCCCCCCTCAAACTCACCACAACGGCAACCCCCTCTCAACACCCTGCCCCCCAACACACCCCACACACCCAACACACGAGATATGTTCACCCTACACCGTCCCCGCTGAGGGCTGAAGCAGCACTTGCCCATGCGGCCCCGAAACCGCTGGCACACTGCCGTACTCCTGCATGCCGCCAGCCAGCTGCGGCTGTAGCGGCTGCAGCACCGGATGCCCCTGCTGTTGCTGTTGTTGTTGCTGCTGCTGCAGTGTTGCTGCTGCTGGACTCGGAACCGCGGACAACGTGCCCTGAGGAGCGGTGGCCGGCGTGACCTGACCCGCGTGAGCTTGGGGCGCCTGCACGTGGGCTTGAGGCGGTGAAGATTTGCTAGGGGCGGAGGCGGGCAAGACCGCTTGCAGCTGAATCTGCAACGGCGGCCGCATCAGTGCCTGTTGTTGCTGTTGGTGCATGATCATCTGGAGCTGCATCATCTGCAACTGCTGCTGCTGCTTAGCGTAAAATTGCTGCTGCAGCAACACCTGTTGTTGCTGTTGGTGCATCGCAGCTGCGGCAGCAGCAGCCGCTGCGGCTTGCTGATATTGCTGGAAGACTTGCTGCTGTTGTGGCTGTTGCTGTTGTTGTTGATGCTGCTGTTGCTGCTGTTGCTGCTGCTGTTGGGGCACCTGCAGAAGCGTATTCATGTGGGTTGGTTGCTGTTGCATTTGCTGCATGTGTTGTAGGATATGTTGTTGCTGCAACGCGTGTTGCTGATGCAGGAGGGCCTGCTGTTGCTGCAACGCTTGCTGCTGCTGCAGTGCTTGCTGCTGCTGCTGTTGTAACGCCTGCTGCTGCTGTTGCTGCTGTTGATGCTGCGGCGGCTGTTGTGAGGGTGATGTCTGTTGTTGTTGTTGTTGTTGCTGCTGTTGTTGTTGCAGCATTTGTTGTTGTTGTTGCTGCTGCTGCTGCAATATTTGCTGTTGGTGATGCAGCGCGTGCTGTTGAAGTTGTTGCTGCTGCATAACATGCTGTTGCAACATCAGCTGCTGCTGCTGTTGTTGCTGCTGTTGAGGTTGCTGTTGAGGTTGCTGTTGAAGCTGCTGCTGCTGCTGCAGCTGCGCCTGAAACGCCAGTTGCTGCTGCTGATGCTGCTGATGTAATTGATGCGCTTGCACATGAGCCTGATGTTGCTGCTGTTGCTGCTGTTGCTGCTGTTGCTGAGGTTGGTGCTGGTATCCAATTAGCGACCTCGCAAGCGCACTCGCCTCCACTTGAGCTGGTGCAGGTCCCGTCCCCGGTCCGGATTGCTGTGGCTGGCCCGCACTGTTCCCCGCCTGGCCCGCAAACCGAGACCCCCCCTCAGCTCCACCCTGCGCGGACAGCCCAGGCTGCCCCTGAGCATCCCCAATGTGTGAACCCGAGGCAGCATTTACCGGGTGCTGCGCCTGTAGCCCCTGCTGCTGCTGCTGTTGGTGATGGTTGTGGTGATGGTGCTGCTGCTGCTGTTGCTGCTGGCCCAGTACAAAACCATGCGTGGTGGTGGCAGCAGCAGCAGCAGCAGCAGCGGTGCTGCCGCCAGCCAACCCCACGCCGCTGGAAGACACCGTCGCTGAGCTGGCCTCCGTGACCGCCTGCTGCAGTGACTCAGGCCTCTGTGAAAGCATCAGCTGCATCGTCGCGGAGGATTGCCTGTCTAGGATCTTCACAGCGTGCTGGGATGGGAGTGGTGGCAGCGGTTGCGGCAGAGATGAAGCGCGACGTGTGCCCGCATCTGCCCCCGTTAACCCCCCTGCGCCGCTACTGTTGCCAGCACCGCCGTAGCTAGCGCTCGCATGACGAGGCGCGACGGCTCCCAGCGGCCCATTCTGAACGGCACTGCCGCTGCCGCCGCCGCCGGCGCCCGTCGCTGTGCCGTGACCCTGCACCCCCTGACCCACCGCCGTTGTTGGTCCATCCACCCCACCCGGTCCTGGCCCTAGCCCGCCGCTGATGCCTAATCCGCTGCTGGCGGCGATGCTATTCCCGGCGCTTTGCATCGTCGTCGTCGTCGCCGCCGCTGCAGCCGCTGCTGGCCCTGACTCCGTACCCGTACCGCCATCTTCTAATACAAGGAAATCGCTGGCGTCGCAACCTGCCGGCGAACTGCCCTTCATGGTGCTGGCCGCCGCCGCCGCAGCTGCCGTCAAGCGGCTGCCCGAGGACGAAGGGCCCTTCCCCGCCGCCGCCGCTGCCGCCGCTGCCTCAGCGCCGACGGTACCGTTAACAGCCCCTAGCCCTACCGCCGACGTCGCCGGCGCAGCGGCGGCGCCGCCTTGCGATGAGCGGTGGTCGCCGTTGGCCATGACTAACCCTCCCCCCCCGCCGCCGCCGCCGCCGCTGCCGTCGCTACCGCCCTTTAATGCAGCCAGCTGCGCACGAGCGCGCTCCAGCTTCTGCCGTAATTCGTTGGCCCGGGTGGCCATAGCCCGGGCGTGTTCAACGTTGCTCTGCCGGGCTCGGAGCGCAGCGCTGAGTCGCTCCGAGTCCTTGACCTTAGTTGACTATTATTAGTGCATATCGTGAAGAGGGGGAAGGGAAAGGAAAGGAAACCACAGGGCCGACGAAGGATTAGAGTAATCCACTAGGCAGGGAACGGTTGCTTTGACGGTGGTAACTGCCGCAACAAGCGGTAACGAGTTGCAGGATTTGGGTTCCCCCTTCCGTCACCCACCCCCTGCACATTTCCTCAAACACCGCCACACACAGAGGCAATCACCCTCGCCCCCACGGCCCTCAAGGGACCTCCACTCGAGAAACATACACACACGCGCAGATGCATGCGCCATAGACATACATACAGACACACACTCTTACCCGCGCCTCCGCTAGCTTCTGCTTGCGCTCCGCGTTCTGCTGCTCCGAAACCACCCAATTTCGATCCATTTCCGCTAACCGTGCTTGCGCAGTCGACAGCGCCGCTTGGGCGGCATGAAGAGCCGCCTGAGCCTGAGCTACCGTCTGAGGCTTTGCTGTCCCCGCCGCCAGCTTGCTGCCGCCGCCGCCGCTGGCAGTTGCCCCGTCACCGTCACTACTACTGCGTCGCTTCGTATGGCCCTGCTGCTGCTGTTGAAGCGGCTGCTGGCCCTGCTGCTGCTGCTGCTGCTGCTGTTGCGGCCCCTGCTGCTGTTGAACTTGCGGGGAAGGCTGCGACGGCTGCAGTGCCGGCGGCTGCAACGACTGGGGCTGTGGCGGCTGTAGCGCCGACGAGAACTCCATGACGTTTGCCCCAAGCAAGGGCCCGTCCAGGATAGCACCCAGGCCTCCAAGGAGGGCGTCGTCAATCATTAAACTACCGGAGCTGCGCCGCCCGCCGCCACCGACAGTACCTGCGGCCGTGGCGGCGGCGGCTGCGCTGTCCCGCGGCGGCGAGTCAAAGATAGCTGCCGCTGCCAGCGCTAGCTCCTCGTCCGGGTCAAGGAAAAGATCCGCCCCCGAATCCATTGGATCCAGAACCAGCGGCTGCTGATGGTGTGCAAGCACGCGATCAGAAGCCGCACCGCCGCCGCCGCTACCGGCTGCAGCAGCGGCGGCGGCAGCGGCGGCTCGCTGCCGGGCCTTGGCTGTGCCGCCGCCGCTGCCGCTGGCACGGCCAACTCCGGCAGCGCCCGCGCCCGCGCCGCTGCCAGCTCTAGGTGTACGGCTACCGCCATGCGAGCCTGCCCGATGCAATGGCGCGCCGCCGTTGGCGGCGGCTGCCGCCTCCCGTGCCGCCGCCGCTCGCGCCCCCGGCTTGGTCCCCGGCCTGCCGCTGTTTGTCCGTACAGGCTTCACGGCGCCGCCGCCGCCAAGCATGGAGCCCAGTACCGTCCCGCCGTCACCGTCTCCCAAGGATGGTGACGAAGACGCCGCCGCCGCCGCCGCCGCGGCGGCCGCGTGTGCAGCAGCCCCGCCGCGGGTGAAGTGCCCGCCGCCTGGGACGCCCGCTGCAGCGCCGCCGGCGGAATGACCCCCGCGGTGGGCCCCGGCCCCGCCGCCGCCGCCACCCGGCCCCGGGTGCGGGTGCGCCGCTGCCGCCGCTTCATCGTCCTCTTCCGAAGAAGCCAAGTAGCCGGGCGGAATGACCCGCTCGCCTGGTGCCATGTTGGAGTGATTGCGCGGGTGTGTATGTATGTATGTATGTATGTATGTATGTATGTATGTATGTATGTATGTATGTATGTATGTATGTATGTATGTATGTATGTATGTATGTATGTATGTATGTATGTATGTATGTATGTATGTGTTGGGGATGGGAGGTGTGGAGCGGGGAGAGTGGCCCCGGGGTTGAGAGGGACCAAGATAACACTGCATACGTACACGCAGTCGGAGAGTAACGCAACTCAAGGTGCAACAACACACACGGCGCCGTGCATTAAGGTTGGTGCAGCAGCAAAGCACGCCGTGCCAAGACACACGCACTCAAGGGACAGGACAGACTTGAAGAATACCAAAGGATGGGGTAGGGTAGGTTAGGATTGGTTTTCCCGCGGCAATTGTCGTATACCGCCCTACCCTTCATGCCTCTGGGGGCCCCTCCCTGCCCAGAGCTTCCGAGCCCCGCTGGCCGCGGCCGCGGTGCGGTCGGCACGTGGTTGGTTGTACGATGGTAAGTGTACGACTCACCCGTGATGGGATCGGCGTACGGCAGGTTGTTAAGGCGGCGGTATTCGCACTTAAGTGAGGAGGTGCTTGTTCCACAGCGTCCCTTCTTCAGCCGCCGACACACGTCACAGCGGCCGCCAGGCATGTGTGTGACGCCGCCACCGCCGCCGCCGCCGGCGCCACCGCCGGCGCCACCCGTGGGTGTGGGCGCCGGCAGGGGCGCCGCCGCTGCGTTGGGCACTGACGAGCAGGAGGAGTGACCCACTGCCGCCACTGGACCCGTAGTGGACTGCAGCAACGTCAACACCCCCGCAAGAAACACAAGCGAGCAACCTCAACGACGCAGCCGCAGAGTACAAGTACAAGGAGGACAGCACTATAAAAGGACAGCAGCAGGGAGGTGGCGGCGGCAGGGAGCAGAGCCATATCCGGGGCTCCCATTCCCACAACCTCATGAGATTGCTATAGCTGCAGAACAAGAAGCTCAAGCTCACGCCTGTGGGGCTGTGGGGCTGGAAAACACGGCGCTTGTGTCGATGGTGATATGTCGATGACGCAGCCGTGAGGCAACATGACTGCCAAGGCCCTTCCGAGCACAGGCTCTTCCGCCCGCCACGATAACTGCCACTCCAACTGCCACTCCAACTGCCACTCCAACTGCCACTCCAACTGCCACTCCAACTGCCACTCCCCCACATGATATCGCCTGCTTAGCTACGATGATCTTTTACTCTTCCCACGGGCCACCGAGCCTCCTCCTTTCCCCCCCTCCTCCAAGCCGCACAGGGGTGGGTGGGGTTTGGGGTCAGTACTTCCCAAAGGTGAGTAAAACACACCCATCTCACACGACACGGCGACAAGGGACACAGACATAGATGCGCGGGTCCACCTCACCGGTCGCAGCAGGCCCCTACAACCTGGAGCAGCCCAGCCCCAGCCGGGCTCTCCAAGCTCCCTTCTTTTCCCAAATGGGAGACATACACACGCTTGCTGCTACCGGCTCCACGTCGTACGTCCGTCGTACGCCGCAATATTATACCCGCGGCCTCCGAAACCGCGGGAACCCCGCCGGCACAGGCCCAAACCAGGCTGCGTGGGGACCGCCGTGACCTTCGCCCCCCCATGACGCGTCAAGCAACCCCCTTGCACTGCTGTCCTGCACTACCCGCAGTCGCCCCCCCCATCTCTCTCTCTCTCCCCCCTGCCTGCCCCTTTACCCCTTATCCCAAACCTTCCCCAGCGCCCTCTCCCCTCTCTACCCTGGCATTGCCCCTGCCCACCCGACCCACTTTGCTGAGGACTCCCCACCCGACAAACCCTCCCCTCGTAACCCCTCGAAACCCCTCATAACCCCTCGTAACCCTCTCACCCGAAATCGCAGTTTCATAACACGCCAGGTCGTTCCTTTGAATGCTTTGCACATGACACAAAGTCCCACCCTCCCCTCTCTTTCCTTCCCCTCTCCCCGCTTTTCACACAAACCGCAGACGGCCACACACATACCCACCGATTGGGTCGTTTCCTCCTTCTTCACAACCCCAAAGGCGCCTCCGGACATGCCACGAGCTCTCTTAGATGGTGAGGGGCCATGCGCGCTGCCCGTCGCGACGTGGGAAGCCGCGTCCCCCCCCCCAGCGGCCCCTCCTCCGCCTCCTGCTGGTCCCACCGCGGCCCGTTTGCGCGTGGGGGTATCAGAAAGGGCGCCAGGTGGCCCTGTACGGAAAGGCATTTGAAATGGCAATTGCAGGAGGCGGGCGGCCACGCAGCACAGCAAAATTCACCAAAGCAGGTGGCCGGTTTGCGGGAGATACAGCGCGTGGGGGAAGGACGAACAGCGCGTGGGGGGACTTAAGACGAGCCACGGACGCGTGAGGGGGGTTGGGTTTCCTAATAAAAGGTGGCATGGGTGAAGGGTGGATTATGCTGCCTTGCGCCCATCTATGCACGTTAATGCGAGCGCCTCCCGTTTCCCCCCTCCCCCCCGTGTCACATAGCTGCCCTCCTGCCCGCCGTGCCTCCCACGACACCACCACCTATTCATGACTCCTACCTGACTCCTAACAGATTTCCAACCAACTCGGTATAGCTCCCTCCTCTTTCACCCCGTTCCCCCCTACCTACCCCATCACCCCTTACCTCCTGGCGGCCCTGCCCCTGCCGCTGCCCCTGCGCCGCAATCGCTTCCACCATTGACAGTCGCTGCAGCCACCGCTGCAGCGCTCCCCTCCGCGCCATCACCACCACCACCATCACCACCTGCTGCTGCTGCTACTGCTTGCTGTCCCCCTCCGCCAGGGGCCTCACTACCTCCTCCACATCCCGGCTGAGAGGAGTGCGGCGGACCGGCTCCCTGCGCTGACCCCGGGCCCGCGCCTGCTCCCGCAACCCCCTGTTGCTGCTGCTGCTGTTGCTGCGGCAGCGAGATCTTCAGCTTGGGACCCCCGGCAGGATGTAAGATGCGCGCTACTGAAGGCTCGCTGGCGGCCTGCAGCGGCCCCGCGTTGCCTGGCACTGCTGCTTGTCCGACCGTTGCCGCTGTTGCTCCTGAATGCCCGGGTGGCCCAGGCGCCGCCGTTGCCGCCGCCGACGGTGTGCTTGCTAGGAGAGGTGTCGGACAGGCCGTGGGCAGTGAGTGCCCGGAAGTGCCTAGCTGCGTCGGCGGTCCGTTGTCCACCGGCACAAACATGAACGTCTGTGGCGGCTGGGGGCAGTGCTGGAAGGGCTGGAGGGGGGAATGGTGGTGGTGGTGGACGACCAAACCTGAATGGTGCTGTTGGTGTTGCTGTTGATGCGGGTGGGCCAACACGTGCTGTTGTTGTTGGTGCTGCTGGTGCTGGAACGCTGGTAGCTGCTGCTGCGGTTGTTGTTGTTGTTGTTGCTGCTGCTGCGGCGGCTGAAAAGTCTGCAGCTGTTGCTGTGGTTGCTGTGGTTGCTGTGGTTGCTGTGGTTGCTGTGGTTGCTGCTCATGCTGGGTTGGGTTTTTTTTGTGGCCAATGGCGGACTGGTACATTTGGGTCCAGGCTCTGGAAAGCGCCTCTGCGGCGATGCGCGCCTCGTGACCTGCAGGGTGGTAGGCCGCGCAGCTATCCCAGACCTGCAACGTGACCCGGGGGACGGAGAGCAGCCGAGCAGCCGAGCAGCATTTAAAAGGAAAAAATCACACCAATTACCACCAAAGCCATAAAAACACCACGACAAGCAGCATTGCCGTCAATCGCAGAAGCGCCATCAACGGTGCCAGTCGACACCGCGGCATTAGCGGCACAGCCGCCGCCACGGCGGGGCTTATAATAAAAATCAAGGAGTGCAAGGCCCCCACAGGCGCCCAGGGAAGACGTCGTGCACACGGCAAGAATTTTTTCGGGATTCAACAAACGCAGCTAAGAAACCGAATACCGATGGACACCCGCGATATGTATCATGAAGGGATATAGACAGGATTGGGCTAAGGGGGGGCCCTCCTGGCTTCCCGCACGCCATCATGGAGCCGATGGCCCACCCACCAGCTGTACATCCTGTAGTACGGCAGCTGCCGAAGTGTACGGCGATTCCCCTGGCGGCAGCTGCAGGTTATGTCGTATAGTCCTCAGGTCCATTGGCCGCTGGCAACACATGACGGACAACATGACGGACAACATGACGGACAACAAGGAGGGCAACGAGACGGAGGGAGAGAAAGGAAGGTGAGGTGAGGGGAAAGACGATGAACCACAGATGAAGGGGGTTGCGGGCAAAAGAAGAGGGGCTGGGTGTTAGGAGGAGGACATCCACAACCCAACTGGTGAGATACATAATCACAGTCTGTGTCATTCCGGTACTACCGGTTCTATGTGCAAGGTGTATGGAAAAGCGTGGGGGGTATCATCTGCAAGCAACCCTAACCATGTAAAGCGGTCGTGGCCATGCGTTACGCGTTATGAGTTAAGGGTTTCGGTTGTCGACTGGAAGGTGTGGGCGGTACGGCTGCGCATTGCAGTTGCAGGTTGTCGCCGTAATTATGGTTACAAGCAGGGATTCGACTACCGGGATGCGTAAGAGAGGGTTAAGAGAGCTGATGGGTCAGCAGCAGCTACGATGGTGGGCCCGTCGGCTGACGGTAGTTCGTTCACAGCATGCGGGAATAGTACCATGTAGCAACAAAAGTATCATATGCATGAAATGTGGACCAGTGCGCTAGCCTGGGTCCAATTGGGCACTTTGCATGTAACGGTGGGGGAGTTCGTGACTGCGGCTGCACCGCGGTTAAGGACAAGGACCCTTGATTGTTTGCACAAGTGAGACAGCGCGGAGCGAGATGCAGCGGAGGATACGGAAAAGGATGGCAGAGGTGCTGAGGGCACCGACAGGCGCAGACCCAAGCCTGGGCCCCTCCTGTCAACAAGAGTCGTCCCTGGCCTGTTGATGCTGGCGGTTGGTGGAGACAGCGCGATCGTACAAATCGTTGAAGGAGCGTTAAAACGTTATGATTGCTTATAATGGCAGTGCCGATCGCTCTGCGCAGCGGAACAAAACGAGGCTAGGCAGAAGGCGTAGGGAAAGCGGCTGCGCAGACAGGAAATCAGCACGCCGTGGAAGATAAGTTTCTCCGGGACGCAGACTCGCCGGAGGACGGGCAACGCGTCGAGCGCTGAGCGAGTCCAACCGCTTGAAGCTTCTAGACTAGAGGCCTAAGCACACGTCATAGCTTGCCCTCAACGGGCATAAACGTGCGGTGGCCGGCTCCTAGCTGTTCTGCAAGCCCCCAAAACCCGCCCAGGGCTCCTTACTAACCTGCACGCATATCGCATAGCCAGGATGTTCTGATGGGTCAACTGGCTTGCAAAAGTATTTCTGTGCTTCCTCCCTCTGCATCAGCGCCGTGATAACCTGAAATTGCAAGGAACGTGTGGCATTGCCCAACATTCCATGGGCATCGCTGCTGGCTATGCCTGAGAATTAAGGTAACTAAAACCAGTCGAATTCTGTACAAGACTTGCCCGTAACAGGGTAGAGCGTGTATCCTCGTCCATTTCCGAGTCCGGTTGGCTAATCGTTCGCAACGCCCAGTCTCATGACCAGTTAAAGCCCTATCAATTTGCTCTAAGGTGGGCGATTTTCCCAAGGGTGCGGCCACATTGAGGGCACATAACTGGCACGAATTCCCAATCTAGAGCTAAAGAATACGCTTGATGGCGTTACCAGATAGAACCAGCTAGTGTTCCCTCGCAATTTCGAGCCCCTTAGTGGGTGGAGCACCAGGACCTTACTGTACGACAGTTGAAATTGGGATGGTTTGATGAACTTCATTCCGGGTGTTCTTTTTGTGAAGAGTACATCATGCAGTTTCACTGTTGTCACATGCATTTTGGTCAAAATGAACTTGAGCTTGTAATTTTTGCCTCGGGACTACCTTTCACATTTACACTTTATTCTATTTATAGTGCTTAAAGATGGCGTCACGGATCAACTGTGGAGGCCCTGCGGGTTATGCCCCATCACGAGGTGGGAAGCGCGTTCAGGAGCAGGTCAAGGTTGAGGTAGCGATGGTCAGCTTTACCGTATATGTCTCACACTTTCTTCAACACATGGTTCTCTTTTAACTCAGGACCAGTGCTTCTTTCTTCGACCAGACGAAGACTTGTCTTGAGGCAGGGGGGCACGCCGGGAGCTCGACGTGTCGAGGCGGCGGCCATCGGTGATGAAGGTGGTCTATTATTCCTCGATAACGGGTACGGAGCAGTCATTTAAACCGTTTGCGCATGCCTTACTGTCTCTGACTTCTCGACTTCTCTTCAGCGAATGCCTGACTTTTCCCAAGAAACGAGCACAGCTGGGACCCTGCTTTGAGTTCTCGTGGGAGGAGGCCTTGCGTGTGCAGCTCGAGGTTAGTTGGAGCGTTGTGGTAACCTGTGTGGTCCACGTCCCAGGGCCGTTTTGAGGCATCAAACATAGGACAAGCCATTCTCCGGCTTAACAGCGTTATAATCCCCATCAGCTATGGTTGCGCAGCACCCTTGTGTCGTCGAAATAACCCGAAACACGCTAGGAGCGGAGTGCATCCTATCAGAATGCCACTTGTTCTGCCGCTCCTCGGCTTGCATCTCTCGGCTGGCCCTTCGGGCCCGAACACTGCCCTTGAGCCCCAGTAACATGCTGCGGGGTCACAGCGGCCGTCGCCGTCATCACGACCGCCCCATTTCTGAACCCTGTCATGCTGTTCATCATCGCAGGCCCTCCGACAAAACAATGTCCCCTACCCGGATCACGGCGTCGAAGTATTGTACCGGTTCGCGAACTTTGACCCCTTCGTTCGGGCCAAGTACTTTGGGTACGTACTATAGTACTATAGCCCTAGGCTTAATCGCTGACTTGCATGAGTAGAAAGGAAAGGTCGAATTTGATCCTTTTTGTCTTGTGTGGCCTGCGCTGCATGTTCCTAACGCTGGAATTCGAACTACCAATCTTAAGTGCGTGCGCATAATTGCATCTTTATCCATCCCCCCCAATCGTGGAAACGTGCGACACCCAAAATCCTAACGACATCAAAGGTTGACCAAAATTGGCTCTCAGAAGTAGCTGTGTCCTTGTACTCACTCTCCATTGCCCACTGCTTCGCGCTACTGCTCCTGCTGCCACCGCGTCTCTCGTTCGCAGGCGCAGCCTGGACCTCGGGTGAGTCACCGAGCAGCCATTAGCCACTTAGGAAAGAGCCACTCGGCTTGCTAGCTGCAGATAGGACAGGGAACCGCAGGTGGTGGAGACCCGCAGGTGGTGGAGACAAACACACGCACGGGGGCATCCACCTTGATGGATTGGAGTAGTTGGCTTTGTCTGAGGACCCCTCCTCGCTTCCTTTGCAACCATCGAGCGTACACACGCATGCATGCCACCTGCGGCATTGCCCATGAAACCGCTCGACAGAGGATGTATATTCTCTTGGTGGCTCGGTGCAGAGGTTGTTGTGCCAAACAAATGTCGTGTTGCGCTTATTTGATTGGGTATGTGTGCGTGTGTGCACTCACGCCCGGTCCTTGACATTTGCTGCTTGTAGGCAGTTTGAGCGTTTTCGCCGCGTAATGCACTCGCCGTATTATGCGACCTTGCTGGACAACTCGGGATGGGAGGTGTTGAGCACACTGCAGGTGCGCACATTGGAGTCGTCCGTGCCATCCGTGCGCGCGGTTCCATGCCTCCATACCGCAAGACCTGTGTGCCGTGTTTCATATCTGCTGATGGGCCGATCCCCTCCGCTTTTCTGTAATGTTGCACTAGCACTTCTTCCTCTGCCTGGAGTGTTGTTTTGGCCATATGGCGCCTGTCACGTTTTGGTTGTCTGACCCCCCCCGTCTGTCTGTTTGAGCTGTTCCCGAGGATATTCTGTCCGAAGGTTTGCTGTCTGTTCTGCTCCCTTAACTGTCTCTGGGCCCGGTGAACAGGTGGAGGAGGGCATGTGGTGCGTCCGGCTGCTGGTCCACGACACGCACCGATTGGAGCAGCGAACTTACTCTATCACCATGCTGCAGGTCCGGGCGGGGGGGGGGTTTAGGGGGGAGCAGCGCCGACTCATAAGACAAGAAGGCATATAGGATTCTGCAGCTGAGGGATGGGAGGAAAGGGACCGGAGCCAAGGCAAACACGAGCCGGGCACAAACTGTTTTGGGGTCCTGTGTGGGCAAACGCTGTACCGTCATCACCCTAAGTTGCCCGGGAGGGTGCCATACATGATTACCGTAATCTGGTCGACAGAAAGGTGACGGGCATATTTGGTTGCCAATTTGAGGAATTCGGTAAACGTTTGAAGGGGCTTTTTGCAGGAGTCGTGATAGGGGAAGACGAACGAAAAAAGGCGTTTTTTCCCTTTTCTCTGAGTGGCAAGCCGACTAGGGAGAGTGTGGGGATCAGTCGTGTCATTTTCGACAACCTATTACAATCGAGGGACAATTACAATATAGCTGTAGCTATGGATGGCTTGCGTTGTCAACAGTCGCAGCAACAGCCACTTGATATCAGAAAGTAATACATGGTGGTATTAACCGTCCCCACCGCGCAGAGGCTTGGCGGCTGCTACGACGGCTACTGGTACACGGATCGTTGGGTGTGCGAGAATCAAGACGTACGGAAGCTGTGGGCTGACTAAGCAGCGCAAGATGTGAGAATTAGGAGTGATGAAGTAACAAGTAAAGCTGTGGTCCATCTAAACAGCTGGAGTTAAGGAACCGCGATGCATATCGACAACAAAAAAACCTGAAGAAGACTTATGCAGCTGGCACGTGAAGCACACTTGAAGCCTATGTATCATTATTTCCTATGCTACCATCCTACGAGATGATGATGTATTTGTTCCCATCCGTAAAGGAATGTATACTAAGTGGCTGTTTGCATGCGTTGAACGTTGTAGTTGAATTCGTATTTTGTGCGCGCATCTGATATAGAGCTAAGTTTTATTTTTTGGCCGGGCGCAACTGTTGTATATTAATTCCTAACCCTTTGGCACCTTTACGCACCGGTTCCGGTATGAATGGTTTATTCACCTCTTGAGCCCGTTCGAATCGTGCAGCGCCCTTTGAACTTTAGCAGCGGCAATGTGGCTGCCTCAAAATAGCTAAGACCGCGTTTGTTGCGCTGTCGCACCTATTGATCAATTGCTATCGATTAGGTAGCTAACAATCGGGTGCTGTCGTAATGGTTTTGGCGGTTAAGCCGTAGATACATTAAATCAGGCGCAGTTTACCTGTTGATGATGCAATGGATTGTGCTCTTCTGTCGTTAGAGTGCTTGAGGGCTGTCTACCGAGCCTCCATAAATCGGATTAGTTGAGTTGGGATTGCGTACGTGTATCCGCGGCTCTGGGTGGCTCGTATGCCAGCGAAACGGTTCCATGCAGGGCCGCACATCGTTTCTGAGACGCCTCATAGAACCTGAAAAACTCAAGATGTATACAGTCCATGGCCTCCCGCCTCCGAGCTTTGACGGACACCCCCGCATTCATATCATGCGGAACGCGTAACTTGTAAGATGCTGATATCCCGAAATGCCCGCAAGTCTGCATGTGCTGATCGGACCTCGAGTCTTGGACAAAGCATTAAAATGAAAATTCTGTAATTGTGGAACTCGAATGCGGATCTTGCGGATGGATTCTCTGCAGCTGGCGGCCCGTTCGCAAAAGAGAGCTGTTTTTTCGTGGACGGGATGCACACGTTCGTGACCATCCATCCGATCAATCTACCGATCAGGCCCACAACTGGATCCGAACAGTTAAGTTACAAGTAATAGCTCGCTCTGAGCAGCTGACAGTCCCATAACAATAATCCATGTTGCTGCTATGCTACGTACGACACGTACCGACAGCATTTGGAGAAACGAATGGACTGGGCTGACTAAAGCCCTAGCTAGGACTTCGGCTGCAATTTAGGCATACAGATACCGGGTGAGCTTACTAATTATCTTACACACACAGACAGGAAAGAAAGGATGTGCATGCTATAGTCCATACCGCCAAAGAACGCGGCCCAGAAGCCTCCCACTCTGTAACATTACAAATACCGCCAAACAATCCGTTTCCTTTGAGGATGTCACAAACTAGTTTGCCAAGGACCCGACAATCAGCAACTACAAGTTCGACATTCTTTTCTTGCTTCAACTGTGTGCTGCTGGGTAGTTGAGGCTATGTCCCCGGGGAAGCTCTTGGCCGATTAAGGCCTACAATGTTGTGCGGTGGGCGCCTGCTTGCACCCGCTGGGCTCGTCAGGGTGTTGCCCACGAGAGCAACTCTGGCTCCTCCAAGTGCAAGCGAGTAGCCCATTGAACTGCTGCCCCCTGCAGCACGTCCCATAGCACCGAGGCGCAGGGCACACGACATGACACACGATACACACTTCGGTGCAGCACGAGTTTCCACGCAAAGCAGCTGTACTTGTATCCGTTAGCGAGAGGGGGTGGGGAGGGGCCGGAGGAAATGAGAACATGAATGAATGGAATGTGCTGAACGGCCACACAACATCGGTCTTCAGTCTCTCCCACAGTGTTTCCTGTTCCTCTTGATAATTACGATGTGCGCACCTGCAGTCAATCGGTCGTCATCGGCATCCTCGCCATCAGTGCCGTACAAGTCTGCTTGGTTGATGTATGTCACCAGTTGCACCACCGGTGATGCTGCTGCTGGTAAGGATGGTGTCGGGGCATTGCACTCTCGTATTGTGCTATTGCGGACGGGCACTGAACCTTTTGCCCAAAAGGTGCATGCAGTCCGCACCCCTATGGCACCTTTCCTACAGCATGGGTGATGATGATGATGGCCCACACGTTTCCCGGGCGAGGCGAGGCGCAGTGGAACGCAGGTTTTAAGTGAGCAGGGCCTACACCTGCAGTTCAAAGATATGCACATGCATCATCTGGTTACCTTGTGCATCTTATGCACTATCAGCACATCCACAGCGGTGACCCACCTGTGCACTGCCCTTGTCGATTGTCGCAAAAATGCTGGCGTCGCACGGGAAGTGTGTGTTGGTGGCAGCTGTGGCAGTGTCGTCACGCGCCTGTGATGGATGGAGAATAAACACGGTTCAACAGACCTGTGCGCTTTTGTGGGCCACGGATCTAACATTAGGCATGAATGCGCGGGCTGCCTGACCACACGCTGCTGCTTTGCTGCTGGAAAGAAAAAGCTCCGACCACCGGATCTCGACCGGATTAGCTGGGTGAAGGCAGTGCGCAGAAACTCCTGCACCAGCAACATCCCAAAGACGCGCACGAGTAAGAACTCGTCTGCACGTCGCCACAGCTGGATAACGTACTCAGAGAACCGGCTCGACAGCCGGCGCTCATATCGCAGTTGACCAGAACCAGCAAGCATCAAGTCAGACTGGATGGGTGACTGACTACAGAAAATGCGTGTGGAGGCATGTCCTTTCTAATAAGCATCATAACGATTCACCTTCTCCCGGAGGCAAGTACTGTCATGCATGAACTTCACGGCAAGAATGGCCGCGTTGCACGAGATGATGACATCCTGGCGGGTTTCGTTCGACAGGAAGTGTCCCTTGACGCCTAACTTCTGATAGGCAGTTGCCCAATAAGGCGATGAACACCAGCACGAGATGGAGAGATGATGCAGCGTGTGTGTGTGTGTGTGTGTCTCTGGGGAGCGGGAATTCGGACTTGCTGTGTGTGTGCGGTGTTTTATGTTGGGGGGTACAGGAAGGGATGTACCTGGGGGTTAAGGGCAGGAATGTAGTTATTATACCACATGGGGGAGGAGGCGGGGGGGAGGGTGTGCCGGGCTGCGGGGAGGAGGGGTTACAGAAGGGGGGACAGATGTCCACGTACGGAAAGACAGATATACATAAAGACAGACAAACAGACAGTGATGGACCCGGTATTACAATGACACCTGCCTCCAGGAGAGGAGTTGACGCCGCCGTTGATCCGACAGACTCCACCGGATGCCGGTGGTGGTGGGTACTGAACACGACGAAGTCATTCACTTGGCAGAAGTCGGCGCAGATGGGGGAAGAGAATGATGACGGTGCCCGCCCGCGAACTTTGGGGAACCGTAGTAGGGACTACCAGGATAGGGGGAACGGGTGGAGTTATACAACCCTTCTTCGCAAAGTCATACAGCTATTCCCCCTTTTTCCTCCCCTCCCCCCAAACCCCCCCAAGCTGCCTCCGCCAATTTGCTGCTTCCGGAAGGAGCTCCCCCCCTCTCCACGCGGCCCCGGATGGTGGCGGACCGAGTGATAGTGGTATGTGGGGATAGGTGTTGGGGGTTGTGGATGTGCGGGGTTACGTATATTAATCAAAAGCAGTAGCAGCAGCAGTAGCCCATATTATGGTGAGGAGAAGAGAATGAGCTGGACATTGTATCTATGTATGTACTACGTTGATTACACTGTGGGCTGAAACCGCAAACAAGGTGTCACGCCAAAACATCTGGAGCGCACAAATTACGTGCCACGACCGAGTTAGTCGCTATCCGCAGGTGGCTAAGCCAACCGAAGGTAGTAAGGCGAACCGCGTATTGATTTATTTGAGACTTTGGGTAGCGTATAAGGCGCTTTCTGTTGTGATTTGAGGATGTTAGGTTGTCGTTCATCTGTCGTTAGCTGGATGAGCGTTAAGTATCCAGGATAGGGCCTCGTGTGATAAGGCCCGGCGTGGATCGGTCGATACTTCGCCATAAATGCGAGTGCGAAAAGGTCACACATTTGTCGTTTGGCTCTCGAAGCAACTCTTCGTGAGCGTATAGACCATTATATTATTGAAGATAATATAATCATAGGAGGGTTGATAGGCCTGTTTTGGTGTAACAAGACTGTGATCCTACCCTACCTCGAGACGCGCATCAGAGCAGGATAGACAGAGAGTGTACACACAGCATTCCATAAGGTCCGCCCTTAGTGCTCATACCTCTAGGCTCGACAGGGATCCGTTCCCAGCCCGTCCTCGCTTACTGCGATCGCGCTAATCAAGTTAACGAAGCTGGAGTGAGCCAGCCAAGTCAAGCCGGAGCTTTAAGGAGAGCTCCTATCGTATTGTATAATAATCATCATTTACCCACAGCCAAACAACTGAGAAGGTCGGCGAGTCGTCCTGAAGTAGGCGGCCGTGAGAAGTAAAGGATCGGGCGCCAGTACCCCGAGTTTATTGTGCAGCTATTGTTGAAAGCGATCCGTCGCTGTATATTCTCCAAGTGGTGTCACCCATCTATTGAGCTAGGCTTTTCGCGTCCGCGCACTAAGCCAACACAGATCGTCAGCCTTCCGAGGCACATCGAATACGCAGTGTTAATCGGCCTCAGGTTACTTCTTCGCCTGGTTCCGACCAGCGCGAGGAGCGCAGGCGCGTCAACCCTCCGGCGGCAGCCATCCGTGGCATCAGTGCTTACTTGTCGCGTTCTTATTTTCTTTTGATTTGCCGCAAGACTGCTGTTATTATCCAGCTTGTGAGCTTTTGGCGTGGTTGATCTGGCTAGCAGTGAGTCAGGATTCGTAGCCGTAGCACCCCTTTCAGTGTGGAGCTTCCGAGCTCCTGGGGGTTGTCTGGCACTCCACGCGCCCATCGGGCACATTTGTGTGATTATATTAAGTGTAGAACCAGCTAGTGGTGGCTCTATTGGTGCATCCGTGTGCCGAGCCC